GAAAGACTCGTTTATGTTTTAGTGTTCAGCTTCTGCACTCGCCTTAAATTTGTACTATCCTTATAACCTATATTTATAGATAAATAGATAGACATCTCTTTCATTTATCCTTCGTTGACTTGCTAGATAGATAGATCGTTGCTAGGAAAAAAAATACTCTCAATTCGCAGTGAAGCTAAAAATATTCAATATTATTTGATCAGCAATGGAACAGCCGTACCCTTCTAGGCTATAGCTAAAAACATATTTGGAACTTAGACCCTGTTACTCGATTAACTATTGTCATGAAGTTTTTTACATTTAATTTGAAGTATATTAAATTCTCACGAGTAAGAATAAATGAATCTTAATCAATATTTAAAATTAAGCTTAATATTACATTTTAGACCAATTAGCAATGAAGATCGAGTGTTCTTCACAACTTATAGTAAGGAGTGCAATAAATTAAGAGCATCATGCAATTTTCTTACAACTAACTTAACAAAGTAACCGCCTAGGGTGAAGTTCAATAAGCATTAAGATTGCAAATTTCAACAAATAAAGAGAACTTTAAAATCAAGAGTTAAGTCTTAAGCGAATGGAACTTTGGTGACCCCCAGCTGGGTAGCTATTATGGAATTCTTTTTTGAGCTTCACAGGCCTTGAAGTTTGCTGAGCCCCATGTATAATACAATAGGCTTGCCTTTGTACTATTATGGCTAATTGCGGAATGGAAACGACATAGCATATGCTAGGCATGGAATTTTAATCCTATGCTCGATGTAGATCTTTGAAGTCGCGCTTAAAGTTTGGTGACCCCCATGTATATTCGACTTTTTCTCAAACTATATTGCTTATTATGGAATGGGACCGATAATATACTACTTATGTATAGAACTTTGAACAGTGTTTCTTAGGGAGCGTCACATTACGAAGGTTGCTTGATCTAGAGCTGTTAAGCAGCACATCAAGTTTGGTGACCCCCATACTCTTTATGATTGACCATTCCATAAACTATGCTTGATGCCCATGAAATGCAACTTCAAACAGTGTTCCTTTTACGAGCATTACATTTTTGTCGAAAAACTATGCGTTTGTAATGGTCTCTGTAATATACCAAATACCTTTACAACCTTAAACAATGCTACTTTTTGGAACTTCCTTATCATTTCAAACAAAAGCGAAGCATCTACGTCTAATGCCAAAAGTCTGAATGAGGACAGACAACAAGGCTTTGTTTTCACTTTCCAAATGGCTGAATGGCCAACGTAACGGAATGATAGTGGGCGCTAAATAGTGTACAGAATGTTGCAGGACGAAGGACAACATTTGATGTGCACTAATAAGATGAATTTACGTGCTTTTTATTATGACGCGCGCTTCCCCATTGTCGGCTTCACATTTCTACATAATGATGTCGTATTAAAAGGCAGAAGAGGGGGCTGGGGGCGTGTTCGTGCAGGAGGCGTATTTCGTGAGCAATCGAAAAGCAAAAGGAATAAAAAGCAGGCACAACAAAAAAAGTTTCCTTTTTTTTTTTTTTGTATCAACCCAAGTCAACGCCTCCATTCATAGAAACAACAAATTCAATGCGTTGACATTGACGTTGTCGTCAGTATTCGATGCTGATGATATGGCGATGATGATGATGCCCCCTTCAGGCTTCACTTGTCTTTATATATATATATTTTTTTTTTTTTGGATTTTTGTTGGTGACTGCGATGGCTTTAATAAAGACTTTTGCTCAGCCAGCGGATTTTGGCATTGCTCTAATTTGTAAGTTGTCGCTGGGAGGGTGAGCCTGTGGCAAAGCCTTGGGGTGTAAGGTGTGGACTCGTATAGGGGGAGGGGGTGGGGGTGGGGGATTCGAAGTTCTTCGGTTGTTGGCTGTCAGTTACACGCGCGTCGCGCTTAAAACAATCAACAGCTAAGAGCTAACTTGCTGGCACATGGGAATTGGCATTGGCATGGGGAGCCATAGGCAGGGCAACGTCCTGGTGCTACTTGGTCTCTGGCCTCTGTCAAAGTACACTACTTAATTGCGCTGTGGAGTTGAGAGGAGTGGAGTGGAGTGGAGCGGCGAGGTGCGGAGCAACGCTATCAGCTGTCTGCAGCTGAAATGAAATCTTTGCCCGACCACGCGAAACTATTAAAAGCCAACATTTAATGAAGTCAACGCGAAGCGTGCTAACTTCCTAGTAAATGCTGGACTAAAGGGGAGAGTAGGTGGGGGGGGGGGGGGATCCTTGCTGGCTGTTTCTATTATACAGATAATGAATGCGCGAACCCTCATGCAAATTAGCGCCGGAAACGCGCCACTTAATACTTGTGCCGGCCGAGTCGTGTCGAGTCGCTGATTCGATTATTGGTGGGCACGTCAAGTGTGTCTGTTATTCCAATTAACAGTTACAGCAACTCGGAGACATACATACTTGTACTACTTATTTATATATAGAAAGAGGCTGCCTAAAACATACAGCTCTTCCACTTATGCCTAATGTTACGGAAACACAAACAAAGAAGGGCTTCTTCCTTTTTGTCAATATTTGCTCTTTGCCCATATTGTTGTTTATATTTGTGAAGCTTTAAGTTTTAACGCGTGAAACTCTATGGAATATTGGTTCTTCAATATTGTAGCTTTAATGGCCGAAACGATCCGTAAAAGAATCTGAAGAAAATTTGCACTCAAATAATGCTTATCGAGCAGTGGAAGGACACAAAATGCAGATAGAGATAATTATGCTAGTATTATTTTATAATTTAAAAAATGTTAGCTTTAGGACGCCTTCCGCTCTCCACACAACTTGGATTTATCGGTTTATTTATACAGTCGTAATGTAAAAGATTAAGAAAACAAATAATTGTACAATAATGTATTGTACATAATTGTATTTTATATATACTTGTACTTGACTGTTTAATGCCATAAAAGATATTCTTTATTGCTCCCCTGCAAACTGAATTCATTATTTTCATATTGGAAAAAAATAAAAATAAAAAAAAATTGATGGAAAATCCATAAAACCCATTAATGCAGTAATTTATATGGGAAACTATAACTGTTGCACAAAATTAGAAAATCCGAAATTTTGAATTTTAATATTGCCACAAAATTTGCTCAAAATCGGTTGAGCGGCTTCGGAGTCTATAAGGAACATACACACATATGTAAGCACTTCCATTTTTATATACATATATACGATTCTGTTTAGCGCTAACTTATCCATACAATGACTTCGAGGTCGAGCGTTTCAGGTCGCCCTTTCCTTCACTTCAACAACTAATTCAGGCTCTTATTTGGACGGTAAGGACAGCCTCTGAGATTTCTGCGAGTCCCGAGCTTAGTTGCCAATTCTTTGCGGACAACTTTAGACGATCCTTGTGGCTCCATTTTTAAAGTTACTTGCAAAGATAATTCTGTTGCTTCCCTTATAATTAATCCTTTTGATAAGTCTTTAGATAATCAAGACTGCTTATCAATAACCTATCTATACAATGGTCGAGCTCGAGCTCGCTTTCACTTTAACGACTAATTCAGGCTTCTGCTCATTAATTTTCCTTCATTGGCTAATCGGAGGACTGTCCTTGCGACTGTATTTCTCCACAAACTGCTTGTCGATTCTCCTTTCTTATTAGGTCGTCTTAATTTCTCAGTCCCTTCCAGAACGACAAGAAATTATCTTCCCCTTTTCCTTAGTAGGTGTACAACTGATTATGCATCGAACAATGCTTTTCGGGTTTTATGCTCATCTGCTCTTAACCGAACTGTCTCTTCTTTTAATAAAAGCCTCTCTTTTCAGCCATCTCCGGAATCTCTGACCAGGAACGGCTGTGAGACGGGGCTTAGCTTGCCGGACTGGCTAATAAATCTTCCCCCACCGGGTCTGAGATTCCATTTGTTTTTTTTTCTCTCTCCCTCTCTCTCTCTATCTCTCTCTTTAAAATAAGCTTTTAAGTTATTCTAAGCTTCTTCTCTCTGTTAAGTTTTTCTTTTTTTGTATCGGTAGATCTATTGGCGCCTCAGACCACACTGCACAGCTACCCGAAGGGCAAATAATATTCCCCCGCCGGGTCAATGAACAATGCTTTTCGGGTGTTATGCCCATCTGCTCTTAACCGAACTGTCTCTTCTTTTAATAAAAGCCTCTCTTTTCAGCCATCTCCGGAATCTCTGACCAGGAACGGCTGTGAGACGGGGCTTAGCTTGCCGGACTGGCTAATAAATCTTCCCCCACCGGGTCTGAGATTCCATTTGTTTTTTTTTCTCTCTCCCTCTCTCTCCCTCTCTCTCTCTATCTCTCTCTTTAAAATAAGCTTTTAAGTTATTCTAAGCTTCTTCTCTCTGTTAAGTTTTTCTTTTTTTGTATCGGTAGATCTATTGGCGCCTCAGACCACACTGCACAGCTAGCCGAAGGGCAAATAATATTCCCCCACCGGGTCCGAAGCCTTAATTAGATATTATTATAATTTGATTAGGTTTCTCCTTCTTGGGCTTTTCTAGCTTATAAGAAGCTTTTTATAATTTTGATAAATTTTCCTCCTATGTCGACAGTCATACTTGTATGTTTGTTGGCAGAAATAAATAAATAAATAACATTTTTAAAGTTACTTGCAAGGATAATTCTGTTGTATGTATCTCAAATAAACAACATATGCTTCCCTTAGAATTAACCCTTTCGATAACACTTTAGATAATCAAGACTGCTTATCAATAACCTATCTATACAATGGTCGAGGTCGAGGCCCTTTCACTTTAACGACTAATAAAGGCTCTTGTTCGGGCGGTAAGGACAACTTCTGAAATTTCTGCGAGCCCCGCGCTTAGTTGTCAAGTCTTTGCGGACAACTTTAGGCGATCCTTGTGGTTCCATTTTTATAGTAATAAGTGCATGGACAAAAATCTGTTGTATGCATCTCAAATAAACAACATATGCCTCCCTTATAACTAACTTATAACTTATCAGCATGGCCTTCTCTTATAGTAGACCCTTTTAGTATCCACAACTTCTCGACATACTCACCCGTTGGATATACGACAATGGTTGTGGTGCGACTCTTGTTGCCAGCAGTTATGAAGGTTGCCACAGTGCGGGCGTTCATAATCTGGGCGGCGGTGCTGGCGGTAGCCGCCGCAGCGGTGCTGCTAACTGTAGGTAGTGTGGGGAGCGGCAGTGTCGTTATCGCTGCGCTCAGGGCCGTGCTGGCCGCCGTAGTGGAGGATTCAATGAAACCGCTTATGTCGGTGGCATCGGTGGTGTTGCTCTCAAGGCTGGTGTTGTTGTTGCCGCCGCCGCTGCTGATGGTGTGGTTGCTGCTGCCGCTGCCCTCAAAGCTGTCGAAGCTAACGAAGCCGGTCGACGAGTTGTAGGCGGCTGGGCTGTCGTCAGTGTTGTTGCTGCTGGCGCTGATGGCGCCACTGCCATGAAGCAGGAGCGTCGATAGCCTGTAGGGAGCACCGACATGCTCGCCGAGATTGGCGCGTGCCATGGTGGCCAGAGTTTTGTTCAGCAACTGTTTCATATTGTTGCTGGTGGCTCGCAGCAATTGGGCGGCTGTGCGAGTTCTTGAACTGGCAGTTGTTGTTGTTATTGCTTTCTCCTTTGTTTCTGCTGCTGTTGTTGTTGTTGTTGTTTTTGTTTTTGTTGCTGCACTGGCCAGATTATTAATTATGCCAACTGTAGTTGCGCTCATATTATTTAATAATTTCGCAGCATAGTCGTAAATTTCAATCAACATTTGAAAGGCCACAACCACAGCAGCCAGAAGAGCTGCCTACGCTGCTGCCCCCTGGCCCCGTCTGTCGCTTTTGTGGTCTGGCTGCTTCAGCTTTGCGGTCACCGCCTGCTGCAACACAAAATTGGAATATGCGCTCTAATTTCCTCAAATGAATCACTTAGTCCTCACAGCGTCCATAAAAAAAAACACACACACACAGGCACAGAGATGGACAACCTTAAGACAGCGACAAACAAGCGTGGGAGTGTGTGTGTGTGTGTGTGTGTGTCTGTGTATGTGTGCCGATATCCAACCGAAAAGTTTCCCTAAAAAAAGTGCTTACCCGCTCGATTTACTTTCGCTTTCAATGCCCAATAAAATCAGTCAACAATGCAACGAAAGTTCGAGCGCATGTTAACAAATGACAATTTTTGTTCACTTTAAAAAGCGTTCTGGTGGCTTATCTTTCAACAACAATGCCGTTTCGTCCTTTATAAGCTGTTCAACAACCCAATAGTATGGCTCTAAATAGGTCGCGATAAAAAAAACCGAATATATATACATACATACATATACATACTTGTATATGTACATATGTATATTCAAGGCGAACTGAAAAGATTTAATTTGCATAAAAGAGCAGAGTCCTATTTTGCCTTAGAAAGGAAGACCTACAAACCTACTTAAGCTCTGGTCAGACAGGCACACAATTTGTGCACAAATTCATAATATTGTTACACTTACTATAAATCCCATCAAGATTTATTTGATTGGAAAACAGTATTTAGTCATAGAACATTTAATTGAATGTTAAAATATAAATAAATACATCAATAATTTAACATCAGCTCAGCTGCGTTAATAAATAATAATATATACCAATTTAATTAAATTTAATAAAAAACTATTTGTGTGTCAGAGCGACACGCGATAAAAGTGAAACTTCGTGGTTGTTTGGAGTAATTTAATTTCTTTTTCAATTTTTTTTATTGATAAGTGGAGCATTTGTATTTATTCAGTAATCAATTTTTCCAATACTAGAATAAATTGCATTAGGCACTTCGTCTTCGTTAAAATAAAAAATTATCGGGTTGCCATAAGAGAAATAAGTGATAAAGACTCGGGAATGTATATTAGATAAGTATCGCGAAAAAACTGCGTTAATTGTGCTTCGTGACATTTGTTGAACTTTTAATTTTTAAATATACTTTCTGCTCTAACAACGAAATCGAATCAATTCGCTACGACCTGCTAATGGTTTCGCATCGTCTGAGTCAAAATAAACACTGAAACCCCCCCCTAAATGAAATCGATTTGTTCGATGTTTAAAATCGAAAAAGATCGCTGTAGTCAACATCGATTATTTTGTAGCTCTAGGGCCCAGGCTAATAAGTTTCCACAGACAAAATGTAACGAAACCCTGCCGATCCAGCAGACAAAACCGTGAAGTAAGAAGTTTTACTTCAAAAACACAAACAAAATAGACAAATATTGAAGGGTCATTGATAATATGTACAAAACACATTTTTATAGCCTGTACCCAAAGCGTGAAAGGCTATACTAGTTTTGTGCGCATGTATGTAACACACAGAAGGAGGCGTGGCAGACCCCATAAAGTATATAAATTATTGATTAGGATGACAAGACGAGTCGATATAGCCATGTCCGTCTGTCCGTCCGTCCGTCTGTCCGTCCGTGCGTCTGTCCGTCTGTCTGTATGAGCGCAAGGATCTCAGGAAGTACAAGAGCTAGAATAACCAAACTTGGTATCGAGGTTCCACTAAGTCCTAGGCAGGTCAAGTTTATTTTTTTATTCTGATACATCCCCCCAATTCCCCCGCAATTCGTGTTTTTGTTTACAAATTCCGTAATTCTTGGATTTTTAAAATCAAAATTTTGGTAGGTACATCCAGTTAGTACTAATGTGTCCGTGTGCCAAGTTTCATCATGATAGGTCAATTGTGAAGAAAGTTATAGCCATAAATAAAATCGCTGCTCATGCGCTGCCTGCAGCTCTGCCGGCAGCGCTGCCCGCAGCTGTTGTTGTTGCTGCTGCTTTGGTTCAACTTTGTGCTGCATACATACACGTATATAAACATGCATAGGCATGTATGTAAATGTAAATGTATGCTGTTAAAACTGAACATAAACATGCCACTTTTTTTAATAATTTAATTTTTTTTTAATTTTTTTTTTTATTTTCCTTTTTTGTGGAGAGTACAGGCTATTTTACTGTCGGGCTTGCTCGACTGTAGCGTTCTATCTTGTTGTTAATGCAGTTGTTGTAATATTTTGAAAATGTTTCATTTGCTTAATATTTTTGTAGGCATTCTGCATATCTATGTGTTTATGTGCGCAATTAACTGAGTTGCGAATAATATTGAAAGGAGCTGGAATTATCTCGCTCTCAAAACTATAACGAATAAATAGCTTTGCCCCAAGAAATAAGTTCCTCTCAAACGTGTGTCCTGTCCGACCACAGCTTTAAGTTGCTCCCTGCCTTAGAGTTCCTTCCCATGCTTTATTATCTCAGTCTTACAAGTCATTTTGTTGAGTTCGAACCGGGAAACTGTATGCTTAGTATGCATATGTATGTAGGAGTTCAAAGTTTTTGGTAACTTCATCTCCCACATACTACATTCAAATGAATTTAAATGTTTTTATAAAGTGTTTGGTCATGAGAGCAAATACAACATCTTAGTCCAAATGAAATCGAAGCAGTTGCCGCAGAAATGCATGAAAACATTTCAGGGCGATTGTCTTAATAAGTAAGGATTCCATTGAGGAGCAAGTGTAATATTAAGTTGCTTATGTTTGTTTAGAGTTTTTCAATTATTTATGTGTTTTTGCAGCCCAATTGTGTCGACTTTTCGAAACAAAAACATAACAAGAATGCAAACAAAGAGGCAAACAGGAAGCATTTGACGTGAAGCTGTCGGCGCAGCTCGAATCCACAAGCGATCGGCGCGCTTTTTCGCAACTCAATGCATGTGTGTATGTACATATATACATATGTATGTATGTCAGTGTGTCTGTCCGCCTGTCTGTCTAGCGAATGTAAAACATACTTTTGCACTTTTTCAGTAAGTAGTTGTAAACAAAAAACACACACACACCAAAAAAAAAAAAAAAAAACTAAACGAAAACTTAGCACAACCTACAGAAGCAGCAACAAAATAAAAAAAAAAAACAACACCCACACACGCACAAGCACACACTTGTTCTAACACCACACACAACGACAACGATTTGTTCGAGTTTCAAAACATGCGTTGCCTACTTTGTGGCGCCTTTAAGCACGCAACCTCGTCGCTTTGGCTTACGTCGTTTCACGTTTTACGATTCACGTTTTCGTTTACGGTCTCACTACCGTTCCGTAACCGTTAACCGCGCCGCTCAACGTCGTTCTATGAACGTTGCCAAGCAGCTGGCGCCCTTTTATACCCAACCGGCTGCCGGAGCACAGTCGAGTCGAGAATTTCCCATTTCCCATCGACCAGAAGAGACAATTTCCCCACTCGCTGGAAAGCGATTGGTGCCAGTTCTCTTTCAAGCAAACATGATGGATTTAATTGCAAGAGTATGGTGGATGCGGATAAGTGCCTGTGTGTCTGCTGTCTAACTGTTAAATTCGAGCTGAGGCTCCTGCTTAAGGATACTGTTACGCCAGGATGTGTTGGAGCAAAGAACATTTCCCCACACACCCCCGACAAGGCATCTATTGTTTTTATATTAGCGATTCGATAGGCCAAATGGAATATTATCAAGGGCGTACGCAGCTTTTACCAAAGGGAGGGGGGGCCAAAAAATTCAAATTTTGATTAAATAATGCACGATGCATTTAAAAAATAATTTATGCATATGATCAATGAAAAAACTTCAACAACTCCAACTCAGTTCCATTTTAAGGAAGATGCATCGATTGTGCGGATAGGTTCTGACCACAATATTTCCATTTATATTTAACGACTGTTAATAAGACCTAACCTGCATCGATTGTTCATTTTATTATTTAAGTTTGTTTCTCACATTGTTCCGCGGTTCGCTTTACCGTTACTTGAACATGAGTGCATTTCTGGAGAAACTTCTCAGTTTTGATAAAATTAAAATAACAGCAAAAAATAGCAAAAAGAACGTTTTTAAAATGTTTTTAAAATATTTTTTAGTGTTTACAATGAGTATCAGTCATTTGCGGCAAAAAAATAATGCTTTTCATCTAAAATTTTAAGCGGATGTCCTAAAAATCGATTTCCTGAAAATTCACAACGGCCCCCCTGCGTACGCCCTTGAATATTACAGATAAACGCCATTGATTAGTATTTAATGCCTATTCTGGTTTGTTGCACACAAACGATTTATTTTATCATTTATTCATTTTTGTGATTTCCTCCTTCCCAGACACTCGAATGGATGCGTAACTGAAATGAAAAGTGCTGTCATTTTTCACAAAATGTACAATTATTTTTCAAATTAAAATAATAATAGGAATCTTAAGAAATATAGTCAACATTAATTGCAGTAATATAAATAATAATAGGATGAAATTAATTAATTATAATAATGAATACTGGATACCGTTTATTTTTTTCAGATTTCGATACAAGGCTAGCCTGGCATTAGCCTTAGTTCTTCTTCACAAATTGTTGCCTTCTCTTTCAAATAAAAAAAATGATAATAGAAATAATAAGAAGTATAATTAAATTATAGTTGTTTTTTTTTTGCAGTAATATAAATATTAATAAAATGAAATTAATTAATTATAATAATGGAACCTGGAGACTTTATTGAAGTCTTGTTTTGGTTGTAGAGTGCTTTTTTGCATGGAACTACATACATATCGTTTTTTTTTTAAATACTATAATTGTTACCTTCTTTTTTAAGTTCAAATAATAGGAATAAGAGGAATTATATTTAAATTAGAACCATCTTTAATTGCAGTTATAAAAAAAATAGTCAAATAAAATAAATTAATTATAATAATGGGTTCTCTGGATAAGTCAACAGTTTGCGAATCTAAAAAATACAATTCCAGATTATCCTTCCGACGGAACTCGTCCTCGCTCATGCACTTATCTAGAGCAGCTCATCAAGGAGCTGATGTAAGTGTAGTGCAATCTGTAAGGATCTGTGCTTATAACGCTCTCGAAGACTTTATTAAATTCTTGAAGAACTAATGTTCAAGGGTGATCATTAAGCACGACCGTTAAATAGATATTCAGAGTCCATCCTTATGTATATTAGACACAGAGGTACATTCCAGGAAAAGCAATACAAGTGCGTCAATGCCTTTGGGCAAGAGCATAGTAATCAGGCTAGAAGAACAGGCAGGAACAGATTTATGAACTATTAACAAACATTTATTTCGAATAAATCATTAAGAAACAATTAGAAGGGAATAGGTAGAATTTTAGAGCGATCTAGGCGTTTGATGAATGAGCACCGTCCAGCGCCCTCAAGTACAAGCTCAAAATCTGAATCTTCAGCTGCAGCAATTGCAACATCTCTCGCGCCACGCCCATCTCGGGCCTTAGAATTTCAGCCACAGCCGGACGTTTGTTGATTTCATGAGTAAAGCGCTGATATAGCTTCTGGCTGGTCTGAATGTTCTCCAGCTCTTTTTTGCGGTCGTTACAAATTAATTTTGAGTAGAAACGCCCAAGATATAAGTGTGCATAGAGCATATTGTGTTCCCCCTCGAGGTCCATGTCTTCGAACCACTTTGCGTCTAGTTCGGGTGCTTCCTTATAGGACTTGATGAAGGCCTCCAAGTGCTTGATGCCGTTCAAGCAGCTCTCATTCACGTTCTTGATTTCGTCCGGCGATGGATTGTTGCTGATGGGATCCATGTTATGCAGATGATCGTCCAAGAGAGTGGAGTATAGTAAGCCGGCTTCATACCAGCAAATGCGGCAGAACTTCAAACACAACTGAGGGTCCAGCATTTCGAGCACATCTTCAATATACTGGACACCGCGCATTCCCATTTGGATCTGAGTCTCGGTATTCTCATCGAAATAGGCAATGTTCTTACAGCCCTCAGCATAATCCAGTATTAATTCCAGATAATCAGTCTTATCGGACTTACTTTTGAAGTGGTCTTTGGCTCGTTCCAACCATTTCGTAGCAAAATCAAATACGAGCTTGGCATCATCGAAGCTCAGGCAATAATTGCAAGAAATAGAATTCTCATAGACTGATAAGTCAAGGTGCGAAAAGATATGGTCCTCATCCGATATTGTCAGCTGCAAATGTTTTGTGGCGCTGACAATTGCTTGCATGTCCGAATCGTCAGAATCATCGGTATCATTGTCTAGCAAACGTAGCTTGGATGAGTTGAGGAGCTTCAGACCGTAAAGGGCCCAACAGCGCGCTATCTTGGCATAATAACTCTTGTACGTTTCTGGTTTATTACCACCCAGCTTCATCGGCATGGGGGGCTTCGCCAACTGAAGCTTCAGCTGCTCCAATGTCACGATTCCGACGGCGAGAAGAGTGCGTGCCACCTTGAAGCGCTCCTTTTCGACGTAGTAATACGAAAGTGTGGTTGCGTTTAGGCTAAATTCGAGTGAATCGTACAACTTGAATTTGCGATGCAGATTAAGCGTTTCATGGCAGAACTCGGAGGCCTTCTCCAACTGTCCCATTTCATTGTATATCTGACCCAAATAATAGAAGGCCATTATGTGGAGGTTATTCAGTTCGGCCGGACCAACCGCAAGCACCTCCAATTTTGGGGGGTTGTACAGATCGGCAATGTCCATAGCCAGATTCCCGTTCAACTGGAACATCTTGTAACCATCGACTGCCTTCAGAAGCAACTTGATGGCGCATTCGAACTCCTTTTGAAAGGCACGTGAAATGCTTAGTTCAATGGTGGCGCCTATGTAGGGGATAATGCCTTCGGCGGTCAGTTTTTGCGGTTCGATTAAGTCAATGCACTGCTGCAACATCTGCTCCCCGTCAGAGTCCGACCCGATATGGATATAGATGCGCCCCAAGTCCCGACACACACATGCCAATAGCGTGTTAAGACGGAACTCGGCTTCGTCGGCACCATTTCCTTGGTCGCGTATCGAGCCAAGTTCGCTATCCAACTGATTTTTCATATCAATCAGCAAGTCACATGAATTGTAGTAGGACTTGAACGGATCTGTTTCATCGAACTGGTCAGTCTGGAGGAAACTATCGATATTGCCGTACAGCTTCTTGATATCGTCGAGAATAGCTTTTAAATTAACCATTTTATTTATCTGGATTTTTTTGTTCAACCAATTTAGATTATATTTGTCTTCGGAAGTGCTTTCTATTAAGTCAGATATTAGAGTGCCTGCTTCGATTTGAATTTGTGACTAGTATTTTCTAGTCTTTTTTATATCAATAAATGAAATTCCTCCACTTCGATTACATGCCTTCTTGTTTGGATCGCGAGCAATCGATTAATGCCATTTACATACTTATGTTTACCATACATTTTTAGAATTCTCTTTGTGAATAAACGGAGAAATGATAGTCGCTTTAAAAGACAAGTGTCGCTGCGACAACTGTCCTATTAAGACAATCATATATGTTTTGGTATTTTAGTGTCTGTCACTGGTCTGGGCACACTGTCAGAATAAAGTGGAAAAACCCAAAAAGTACATTCATATCTGTGAGTATAGTAATTGATTTGTTTCGTTGTGAATTCAAAAAGCCACGTATTAGAAGTCATTCCATCACATACTTCGGAGCCGAAAACTCCAAATAGTCCACAATAGTTTAAACCCGTAAAAGCAGAAGCAGATATTTAGCTAAGTTGCAAGTGAAGAGTCGCCGAAGGATATATCCTCAACTCCAGAAGTGAGGTTGTGCAGGTTACTTAGTATCTAGACACACAAGAGCAAAAGAGTTCACCCAGGGACTATATGTATACCCATGCACAAATTGTATCTAATTGCTATTTTTGCTTCATTTTGTCCATTTGTGTGGCGTTGCCAGATGCAAAGCTGTCAACGTCGCTTTCGCCCAAAAAGGGTTGTGGCACTATTTTGTGAATTGTTGACAGCAATAAGGGCCTATTTTCTAAAGTCCATGAAATAATTTTGGGAGCTCTTACTCACAGTAATATCCGTTTTTTACAGACTCATCACATTACCTTTACATGTCCATAAATAAAACTTCATACATATATCAAGAGAGGCTAGGAGTTACGATTTAAGTCTTCATATTTACAGATAACTTACAGAAAATTACGAAGCACAGAAACTGAAAGCTTACATTTATTTTACTGACCACAATACCTATCGGCTTATGTTCGACAAAAGTTTAGGAAGCGGAACACCACTGGTCAAAAGACCAATTCTATTTTTGTGGTAAGTATCATTTCTTTCGGCTGTAGATTCACAAAATAACAAATAATTCCGCAGAATTCCAACTTGCTCTCCTTTATGAGCATTTTTGAGCAATATTTATTGAGCAACGGATTAAACTTCTTGCGCTGATTAAGTTGAAGGGCGAGGAGAGCAGCTCGATTTTTGTTGTGAGTTGCACGAAATATTTGGAGACTTCTATAGATATCTATATTTTTACGAATTAAATCACTTTTGTTTTCAGATTCTTAGTACCTTTTATCACCAATACCTTTTGAGCAACTAGAACCTGATTAAAATATAGAGCACTTCTTATTTTGCGGTGAGTCAAGATTTTATACGTTTTCATATTCTCCAGGATTCTATTCCTTACTCAAATTTAGAATCAATATTTATTGAGCAACGGATTAGACGTCTTGCACTGATCAAGTTGGACAACGAGAAGAGGAACAGCTCGAGATTTATTGTGAGTTGTGAGATATCTAGATTTCAAAAGCCTTTTCTGATTTAAATCACCATTGTTTTCAGATATTAGTATCTTCTATTTCTTCAACGATAGAAGCTAGAATTTTGCCAGCCTCACTAGCATTTGTGATCAATATTTATTGAGCAACGCATTAAACGCAGATCAAGTTGAACAGATCGAGTTTTGTTGTGAGTTGAAGGAAAAGATTGCACTCTATATATATATCTATATTTGAGCAACTAGAACCTGATTAAAATATAGATCAGTTCCTATTTTGTGGTGAGTAGAGAAAATCTCAACGTTTTCATATTCTTCAGGATTTTATTCCTTAGTCAAATTTAGAATCAATATTTATTGAGGCAAATAGAACCTTGCTAATTCCGATACAGGTGAGTGTAGAGGGAATGCAATAATGATTTTAGTCCTCCATTGATTTATATATCCATAGACACGACACGAGTGATTTAACTTGTTTGTTCTACATCTGCAAAAACAGCTTATATTCATTACTAGCTTTTACCATTGATATAGACTATATACTATAGACTAGAAACAGGACCTCGCTGGTCCACTAGATTTCTCATAAATACAAGTTGTTGAGCCTAATCTGTTACGAGTGTTAAGTAACCAGCCGGTCTCAGTCCAGAGAGAGTGAGAGTATTGTGGTGAGTAGTGGGAATGTGAAAGATAACTTCCCGGTTATGTCCTGTCTGCATTGATAAATCAACCTTGAGCTGAAGGATTTGTTTCAAACCAAGCACTGATGCACTTAAGTGTGGCCAGCTGTTCGTCTGAATGGGGGTCACCAAATTGAAGTCAGCTTAGTCCTTAAATTCAAAGCAAAGTTGAAGTCTTTGTCTCTTTCTTCACAGCGCGCCTGCGAACATTTCGTTCTGATCGATCTGATGAACAGTCGTTTATATAGCATTTAGTTTTCGAATACAAGCAAGCAAGTATAGTCCAAGTAAGTATACATTAACATGCTTGATTAAATATATATTTATGATCCAAACAATTGGGTCAAGGCGGCTCATACGCCGCTGATTTGTTTTAGCCCCAATTGCCGCACATTTTTGCGAACGGAAAACCACAAAAATACGTGCCACTTGATGAATTCTCTGCTCTACCCTGCCCTTCCCTGCCCTGCTCTGCTCTGCTATGGTTGATCGAACCGGCAATGGAATTCAATTTCGATGACTGCTATTATGCAGCTGTTCGGTGTTCAACATGTGTATGTGAGAGTGTGTGTGTGTGGGGGTGTTATTGTCTGCTTGACGTGATTGAAACATAAAATGAATCGAACGGGGGGCGGCATAGTGGCGGGGCAGGAAGGTGGCCCACGAGCGCAGCGATGGGAGCAACAATTATTGAGGCAAGTGGCGAAAAAGGGTGGCTTTGTGGTGGGAGGGAGTTGGGCAGGGGAGCACAAATCAAGGAAGCACGGACTTCAGTCTCATACCATCGGCCGCCTAATGAGCCTCAGAGAGCCCCACCCATGACTAACAAATCGAATGCGATGTGTGAGGGGGGGGGGGGGGGGGGGGGGGGGGGGGGAGGAGTTGTGGGAAATAGAAATTCAATTAAAATCATGAATGTGCTTGCCATCGATTTGAATTATAAATGCAAACATATCCGCAATAACCCAAAAACAAAATGAAAATCAAAAACATTAACAGCCGCAAAGCAATAACAGGAAAGTGCCAGACAAGTAGTTGTTCGGGCAGGAAAAATAATTGCATATATAGTAGGAAAATGAGATTAGTGGGAGAGTGTGCGCGTGCAGGTTTGTGGATGAAAGCTTTTAGGCTCAATGCTAAGTGCGGCAAATAGTAGAGTGAGTTGTTGGGACTCTGTGGTCTTTTGTTGTTTCCAAAACAAACGGAGTTCCGATTCTCCCCAGCCCCTCAACCAACCACCCAACCAAGTCAAGTAAGTGACTCAAAAATTGATTGTGTCGGCAGGTTGCGTTGTTGGGTGTGGGGGGTGAGGAGGCAGAGTGTGTGGTAAAAAAAGCAAATGAAAAACCTTTTGTTACGCAAAAAGAGAAACAGTTAGTGGGTGAGTTGATGAAATGGAATTTCTTTAAAATATTTAAGCCCTTTCGTTCTAAGACATAGTTATAATCAAACTTATTAACTTGTTTTAGGGCTGAATTTCAAACTTTTCTATTAACCTTAGGGAAAGCAAGAATTGTTGGTAATACTCTTTTTTATAACAAATATTCATCTGACATCCTTTAGTATTTATGTTTTTTTTTAATATTAATACAATTCTTATTTCAATTCTTCGGAATTCGTTGCATTGCCTAAGACTTAGCAAATAACTATTATATGGATACATTTCTCTTACCTGTATGCCATTAGAGATCCACGGAAGAAAAGTATTTGTGATGAAAAACTATCAAAGTTGGGTAACCATTTCAAGTGAACTTTTCATTTGAATTTCAATTCTACAAAGAGTTAAGTGAATTATTGGGCAGATCGAGCAAGCATCCATGTTCTTCATTCGATTTTATTCCAATTTTATTATTCTTGTATATGGGGAAACATAATTTTTTGATAAAAGAACCCATAACTTAAAATGTATGTAATGAGAAAAAAGCATTTACGTAATTGTATCTTCAAGTAATGTCGTATCTTCAAGTAGCGTCGTAAAAGGCCATGAGATTGAAAACTATAATCAGCTTAGTGTTTTGTTTGAGGACTTCGATAATTAGCACATGAATGCTTTACAACTTTTCTTCTCAAACTCAAAATAAGCTCAAAATTCTTTATATTTTCTCAGTTTTTGTGGTATACGATTATTATGTCTCATGTCATATAGTCTTATGGGAGATGAATAGAAAGGCCCCATATTACATTTATTCAGAATTTTTGTAACATAACAGCCATTCTTCTACTGTTAGTTTAAAGTTATCTGAAGATATCAATCGATAGTGCTTTGGAACTACCACTTTTATAAGAAACGTAACTTTTTGAAATCATTTCATATTAAATTAATGTACACTTTAGTCTGAAGAATTCTTCTTCTGCAAATTAAGAGTTATCTTAAGTTGTCGATTACACACTTACCCCATTTATAGGCGCGTCAAATGTAGCGTCGTTTGTTATTTTTGAGTTCGGAATACCTTTTAAAACGTAAATGCTTTTATATTACAATTATTCAGAATTGTTGTGTCATAAGAATTCTTCTTATGGTAGTTAACAGGAACATGGCAACGAAGGCCCTCCTCCTTCTGCTTGTGATGCGTTAAGACAACGACAAGGCTGATGGGTGAGGGGGGGGAGGCTGATTCCCACTCGCACTTAGCTTGCAACCAATAGTTTGCGGCAATGTTAACCAATTCTGTGGTAATACGCTGTGGTTTCTGAAAGTACGTGCCTTTACCCCCTACCGTGTCCCTCCCCACATCCACATTCAGTTTGAATTCCAAAAATCTCGTTCCTGCTTCGTGGCTTTGATGGGGGGTCTGCGTATTTTGTTTAAAATGAGCAAGGGGGGGGGGGGGGGGCTAAGCTCCATGTGTTCTCTACATTCCTCAAGTGGGTGTGTCAGCATGTCATGTCTAAGTATTTACCGAGTATGGAGTTTGTGCGATTGTGGCTTTCGGTTGGGTTGGGTGTGTGGTGAGTGTGTAATCGTAAAACAAATAAATTGCACAGAATATTCGAGTGTTTGTTTATTTGTTCTGCACATACACAGACACACAGACATGGTGACAAATCTGTTGTTGTCCAGTAACTAAAAGGATGTGTGGTCTGTCTTGGTGGACGACTCACCACCCCTTTGACCATTTAAATTACCCACATGCGGGTGTGAGGGTCGGGCCCATGGCTGCCAAGCCATAAAACATAAAAGCAATTCAATTTCAAATTGCCAAATGCCAACAGAGCACTTTGCTGCTGCTTGCCGGACCGGACTTCAGCCACATTGCGTGGAAGGGGGCACTTTATAATGGGGCTGTGGGGAAGGGGTAGAGGGGCTGGGCGTCATGGGAATTTAGGAGGAACGCATCAAGTTGATTAGCAGCCTCGTGTTGTTTTAGTTGCGGTTTTCGCCCAATTCATCGATGAGAGTGGTTGGCAAAATCCACTGAGGAAACCAGCCTCAGAACTCTGCAACAGTAATGATACACTCAGCTTTTTAACTTCATGAACTGAAACCTAAACTTTAGGATAGTAATACAATATTTCTAATAAATTAGAAAATGAACAATTTTGCGCTTTTTTTTTAAATAAAAGTAAAGATAAATAAAGATAATAATTAACGACACCTCTTTTAACCGGATACCCCTCTTAGGGGGACACCTGTTCTAGAACGTTCGTTTTGCTGTACTTTTTAGAGAAACTTCGCCATTATTTTAAATTATTAAATTAGAAAGTGAATATTTTTGCGTTTCTTTTTTTTAATAATAGTAAAGATAATTGAAGATAATAATTATTTAGTGAAAACTCCCTTAACGGATACCCCTCTAGACGGACACTTACTTTTTAGAGAAACTTCGCCTCTCTTGTGCGGAGACTCTCTTGACCTATCTCTTGAAAACGGACTCTGACATGCTGTATTTTAAATTGGATGTACTTGTATCTATATACAATTTAAAATAAAATCTCTCTTTGCACGAAGCGTACATCTTTGTAATTGACGTTTCAAATGCATGCAAAATAATTTTAGTGATACTTTTCATTAAGTTTGATCATCCGTAATTTTTATCCTATTTCTAATACTTCTTTCCCATATGATTTCATACAAGATTTTTATAAAATTAGGCTCAGCTTTGTCCGATCAAAATAATAGTAGTGCTTGGGAAATATCCAAAACAAATGAAATGTTATGTTATTTAGCTCTGGAATGGTTGCAAAAGGAAAATCTATTAGTTTATAATTATTTGCAATGTCATAAGTCAAGGTGCATCTTCATTTTTATTTTTGATTGTTATTTATTATGATTGTGTGTATTTTAGTCGCCTAAATGTAGGTTTCACTGCACACTTAATTCTGTTGAGACACGGTAAAAAATACCGTGTAAAAAAAGACATTGGCATTGCTAAATGGAATAAAGTCGTGTAACCATATATAAAATTTTTAATTTTCAAAACGTGTTAAATCAATACCATGTAAAAACCGAATTAGGTATATATTATTCAAGAAGTTAAATGTAAGAATTCTTTCAATATTTACTTTATTTCACGGGAACATTCTGTTGTTTTTATACCCTGTACCCGTAGGGTAAAAAGGGTATATTAGGTTTGTGCAAAGTATGTAACATGCAGAAGGAAGCATCTCCGACCCCATAAAGTATATATATTCTGAATCAGCATGACGAGAGAAATCGATCTAGACATGTCCGTCCGTCCGTCCGTCTGTCCGTCCGTCTGGATGAACGCGAGGATCTCAGAAACTATAAAAGCTAGAATAACCAAAGTTGGCATCCAGATTCTCCTAGGTCCGAGAAAGGACGAGTTTATTTTTTTTTTTTTAATTTTCCCCCCCTTCCCCCGCTACAGAATTTCGTCAATAGCGTCCACATTTCAAATGCTACCTAAACCAAACTTTGCACACATAATATATATATAATTGTCTACTGTTGTTCAAAATTTTCAAAAAAATTTCAATATTTTTCAATTCGGTCAATTCTAAGAAAAGTTATTAGCGAAACAAATTCTCGCCAGTACAACCTGGGGAGGAACTGCAGCAACAAGTTCGCTCTTCTTCTTCCTCTTTTTGCTGCTGCTATGGGCGCATATAACTCAGTGACGGAAGTTTACCTGGGTACAGGGTATTACACTGTCGGGCTTGCTCGACTGTAGCGTTCTCTCTTGTTCTATGTAGTATAAGTATATACATATATTATATATAATCTCTATAGTATTTATATCCCCTACTATCCATTCCTACAGAATGAGCGAACGGGCCTGGCGCGCCACCAATGTGTGTGCAACGCACAACACGTTGAAACAGTGGTCGCGCACCGACATCCTAAAATGGGTCAACTCGCTACTCAAGGTGGAACTGGACAAGATCGAGCAATTGTGCACAGGCGCCGCTTACTGCAATCTGATGGACATGCTGTTCCCGGGATGTGTGAATTTGAACAAGGTGAAGTTTATATCGAATCAGGAGTATGAGTTCATTGAGAACTTTAGGTTGCTGCAGAAGAGCTTCATTGCAATGAAGGTGAAGACACCGATACCGATTGAACAGCTGGTGAAGGGGCGATTCCAAGATAACTTTGCGTTCTCTTTGTGGTTTCGCCACTTCTTCATGGCGAACTACAAAGAGAAATGCAAAGATTACGACGCCCCCAAGGCACGGGGTCACCAAACTATTGCAGTTGGCCAAGCAAAGGTGTCCGCGAAATCTAAAAAGCGCAGCCTAACGCCCAACCCTGAAAAGCTGACCACAGCTAGCACACCAGGCAAGCTAAAGCGCAGCCATTCAGAACTCGATATCGGTTCGCAAAGTGGGCACGTATTGCAACAAATCGAAGCAGAACCAGATAGAAACCAGGCAGAGAATCCGCTTCCGTTGTCTGTTGAGCCGGAACAGTCGCCAGTGGAGGACAAGGCGGACGAGCAAGAGCCGCAAGAGACAATGAAAGCGGAAGCTGCAGACACACCAATTACACCCACAGAACTATCCAAATCCAATAATGCTGCAGCAGAGCCAGAGACAGCTGTTATGGGCAAAAACAAGCTGGGCCCAGATAAGACGAAACATACAGCTTTGACGAAGCCAACCACTCGTCAGGCAGTTCCCACAACGCCCTTGGTGCGAAACGCTGCACAACGACCGCCAATGGGCGATAGGAGGACATCACAGATTCAGCCGCAGCCGCAGCTGCGGAGGCTAGCTGGAGGAGCGAAGGCACCAGCGATGAGCCAACTGCCACGCCTTAAACAGTCGATGGACAGCGTTAAGAAATCCTTGCATGTCACCATGAAACGATCGGTGACGCGCATGAGCAGTGTCCTGCCAAAGGTGCCGGTACAGCAGACGAGACTGCCATCCTACAGGCGAGCTGAGGCTGTGCAGCAGCAAAGGGCCCCCAGTTTAGCCCGTAATCTGGGGCAAGGGATTATAAAAGCCAAGCAGGTCGCGGGTCAACTAAAAAGCCGACTGCCCATTCCAATGCGTTTGGCCAAACAACCGGTGCCAGAGCAGAGCGATAATCTTTTCTGCCTGCTGATGAAGCAGCCAACGATTGAGACCTTCAATTTGGTAACATTGGTGAACGCAACCGTGAAAGATAGATCGGCGAAACCAGCCCCAGGAAAGGCCACTCAACAGAAGCAGCTGCAAAGAAAACGGGTCACCCCACCCAAGAGATCGCAGCCTAAGCGAACAACTGTACAGCAAGGAGGCGAACGCTCCCAGAGCAAGATTGGTTGTATCGACCCGATTGAGGTCAAGCGATTGACTGAGCGTGCAGCAGGCCGGCTGGCACAAAAGAAAGCAGCACCAGCACCAGCTCCCATTGTGATGGCGACCAATGATGACAATGCAGACAATGGTCAGGATCCTGACAAGACACCCAGGCCCAGCCAAAGACATGCGTCCATGCAGGGGCTGTGCATCAGCTTTCCCGACACCGATTCGCTCTCATCGCTCTCCGACTGCGATGAACGCGCCATTCCGGACGAAGTGGCCAAGCGTCAAAACTGTCAGCTGAATATTTACGACGACGAGGTGCTCGAGGGCGAGTTGGTCGACACCAGTTCGGGGGACGATGCCAACAGCTATTACTGCTGGGAGCAGGAGCAGCAGAAAATGGAGCTCCTAATGCTGCGCATCGAGCGGGACGTTTATTTTAAGAAATTGCTGCAAATTGAAAAAGTGTCGCAGGCCAAGCCAATGGTTAGGGTTGCCCAAATCCAGCGCATTCTGTACGAGCTGGATGATGGCTTCAAGGTGCCTTGCAACCGCGATCGCCCAGTAATGTCCGATAGCATCCCCCTCAACAAAAAGAAGAAGTCCAAGTTTCAGGCAATTGTTGCTGATCCTGTTTCAGGCACTTCCAATAAGAGCGGGCGGCCTCGTAAGCCCAAAATCTAGTTTTATTTCCATTTTTCTTAGCCTCAAAGGCAAATACGCATTCAAAGCTTCTGGACACACTTTTTCGGCTTCCAATAATCAAACCTTCATCGCAAATTATAAAATGTTCTCAACTTAGCACTTTCCAATTCGGCCCCAAACCAAGCAAAGTATTCTTTGACTTCAATTTAAATTCTAAATTAACACAATTTTCTATTCGCTATTTTAATGAGTTCTGCTCGAAAAGTGTGTGCATTCAATAAAAAATTTTAAGTGGGAAACCGCAAAATCGACACTGTAAACATTATTTATTATCAGCACACGATCCATGTGATTTAAATATTCCCATGGATTTATGCAAGGCTTGGAGTTGGTTCTGTTTTAATCAAAAATTTCAACTATGCATATTCAAAGAATTTTAATGCACTCTTTTTTTTTGTCTATTTAGTTATATACCGATATATCTGTATATCAGCTCAGCCAAGCTCATTCATTCACTGACAAAATATACAGTATTTATGAGGACAGGCAAGGGCGTAGCCAGCTTTTACCAAAGGGGGGCCAAAAAATTAAAATGTTGATTAAATAATGCCCGATGCATTTAAAAAAAATTTATGCATATGATCAATGAAAAAACTTCAACAAATCCAACGCCGATCCATTTTAAGGCGAAATAGTGCGTCATAATAATGAACGTGTGGTTGACTTTATATGGAAATATTTTTTCTAGGGCCGTTGGCCCCCCCTCCCCCCTGCCCCTCCTGCCTACGCCCTTGACGAGAGGTATTGATTACATAAAACAGTAAGTAACGTGTATTTATTATTCAAGTGAAACTGCTTTTGTGAGGACTGCTGGATCGGCAACCTATTCTGTGACGAAGCCAGCTGACGAAATTGAAACTATTATACACTGGTCGGCACAATTATTTTGACGAACTGTACTCACGACTATCGGTGCTGGTTGCTTTTAGTTTCAAGGAATAACGGTACAATTTTCATACGGGATATTGAGTTCATAGCAACAACAATATGTAGGCAAAATATTTTGTCTATTACTCTTCACACCTTTTTTCTACAAATGACAATGTGAGTTGACTGCGGATTCAGGCACGGCATAAGTATTTTGACCAAACCTTGTCGCCGTTTTCGCGTACGTTTTATCAAGTGATACTAAAATAACTTTGGTGTAACAATTTTTGTTGACCTTTTTACATTATTTTCATTAAAATTTGATTCAAAAGTAATCGATACAATGGTAAAAAAGACAGAATTAAGTTATGTTGTTAGAGCCTCAATAGTGGCGAAGTTTAATGCCGGCGTAGCACCAAAAGACATTGCAAATGAATATAATTTGTCGCGGCAAACAGTCCACTATCAAATTAACAAATATAAGACCCACAATGACGTCAAAAACTTGCCTAGATCAGGTGCTAACCGCAAAACAACACCCATTGAAGATCGAGTCCTATTGCGGGAATTTAAAAAAAATATTCATTTAAAGCCGCAAGCTGCTGCAGATCAATGGAATAAGTCGACCAAGACTCCAATCAGTGAGCGTACTGTTCGGCGACGCCTAAAAGAAGTAGATTTTAAGACATACAAAGCGAAGGACATACCTTACATATCAAAGGTGAACAAGCTCAAAAGATTGGCTTTTGCAAAGGAGCATCTGCATAAGCCAAAAGAGTTTTGGAGAAGCGTTCTATGGACAGATGAAAGCTCCTTTGAATACAATTCATCAAAAACAAAGATTTTTGTAAGGCTCCCACAGTTTCAAAGACAAAAAAATATCCCCGTATGTCAAAAAGTGAGCCATGGCGGAGGCTCAGTCATGTTCTGGGGATGCATTGCGTACAATGGGTTAGGTGATTTCGTTCCCATCACCGGCTCAATGAACCAGCAACAATATTTGAGTACCCTTAACGAAAACGCATTCCCTTCCGGTGACAGGCTGATTGGAGAATCATTTATCCTGCAACAGGATAACGCCCCATGCCACAAAAGCAAAATGATAAGAGCATTTTTAACCGATGTTGGTGTTACTACTCTGGATTGGCCACCACAAAGTCCGGACTTAAACGTTATTGAGAATGTGTGGTCTCTTGTAAAACGTAAAAGAAATGCGTCTTTGCATAAAACCGAAGAAGAAACTATTTCCGAGGTCACTTCTCTTTGGAAAGAGATACCATTAGAGGTCCTTCAAAATTTAGTGGACTCAGTTCCAAGACGTCTTCAAAAAGTTATCGAAGCCAAAGGCGGGTATACATTTTATTAATCTACCATCAATTTCTTATGTTTTGTTTAGTATTAAGCTTTGTTTTTTTTGTTAATATCCATTGTCAAAATACTTATGCCAACCCATGAAAATTACCTTGATTTATAATTTTAAAAGTTCTTATAAAAATATATCCTTTGAATTATTTTTAAGTTTGTAATACCAATATGGAATTGAGAAAAAAAGTTTCCTTTGATATCTTAAACCAATAACCAGTTATTGACAAAAATGTATGATTTTCTTCTCGTCAAAATAATTGTGCCGACCAGTGTATCTACAAGTATATCATGGTTTTTCTATCAATTTTGAGTGGATTTTCTAGCTGTTCTTCTAGCCATTATCGGATTTTTTATCAATGTTCTACCTATCCATGTTCCATAAAGGCCCCCCTTACCATTCGAAAAAAATAAACTTTAATTAAATCTTTCCAATACAACCATTCTTTTTCACTTATATTGCGTGTCGCGCGGACACAAAATTTTTTATTTATTTATTTAAAGTTTCAGAAACCCGGCTTGCAAATTTCTGCACTATAATTATGGCAGCCGTTGCACAAACCAGCAGCAAGTGCGGCGAATTCAATATAACAGTTGAGCAGGTATTCGAACCATTCAGTCTAGCAGGACACGCACCGTATATATAACAGTGCATAATGTGTAACAGTTTAATGAATAGAACACTGGGCAGTATTACAGCAACAGTATAACAGCGAATAAGTATAACAGCCGATGAAGAACAATCGCAACCAGCATATGCAACTGTTATAAGTTTGTGCTAATTTATAAGAGTTTAATAAATAGGAAAATGTTTTAGTTTATTACAGTATAATAGTGCATTACAATAGCGTCATAAATATAACAATTGATGGAGGACGAATGTAAATCCCCGTTTTATCTACAGCGCAACTGGCACTACAACACCCCTTTCACATATTCCGCTATGTGTAATACGCCGTGTCGTGGCGAGGCGACATGCAAATTCCAACCATTACAGTATTCCGTATTTATGTGCGGATTGTGCAGTTCGCTGATTAGCGTGCTGCAGGCTGTGGACGAGTCTCCGGTTGATTTCAGCATTTTCTGCAAGCAATTCAAAAATTGAAATAGTTATTTACATACATTATATGTATATATTATTAGGTACCATCCAGAACTCATTGCCCGGCAATGCATTCCCATCCCAGGCGTACGACACAAACAGTAACATGTTCTCATGCTCTGGGGCTGATAGTTTTGCAGCTGGATTCCTCTTGGAGATTAGCACTCGTATACCATTTTGTGGATGTGTTGAGCACTCGATAACGGCGCCATTGTGCAGTCCCTGCCAGCGACTGAGCGTGAACCACGAGAAGTGCACGACGCCTATGTGGGTTAGTTGTGGCGCCAATTCCCGCAGACGCTGCTCGAATGTCTCCAAAAATATGCGCTCCTGTTGCGGCGCCACGCGCCATACTCCCAACCCAAAACCCACGACATGTATATAGGCCGACTTGTCAGCAAATCGAGCACGGGCCTCCGCCTCAAGCAGGAGCATGTCGAAGGCGATTGCGTAGCGACGCTTCATCACCAGATTGTCAAACACGTCCTGCTTGTTGCCCGAAACGCCGAAACGCTTCTCATTAATGGCCACCTCGCCATGCAGATAGTCGCGGGTACCATAGAAGCGTTTCCACAAACGTCGATAGTCGGCTGCGCGTGTATTTGCGGATGCGTCGATAGCTTGGCCATAACCATGTTCCTTGGTATTCTGCGTACGCGCTATAACAATGTCCTGGAACTCCATCAGATTCCGGCGCGACAGACGTGCTCCAATCAGACCCATTATAACACCATCCACCTCAATGGCTCTTCTATTGCGCTCCACAACACCGCAATTGCTGCGCGCGCCATCGTTGATGAACTCCGTGTGCGACGAGACGGACAGCAGAGCGGATAGCTTTATCTCATCATAGCTGAGCACATTCCGCAGCAGCAGCGGCGCCACCTCAGCCGTAGTGCCGATGGGCTCAAACCCGCTGGCCCCGCGCTCGCCGGACAGTAGCAGAAATTTGTCGTTGCGGGCAAAGAAGCTAACACAGCGCTTGGCCAGCAAGCGCTGCACGAAATCGCAAAGGGACAGGTCTGAGTAAATCTCTTTCTCGATTTCATTACCTGCGGCATTTCACAATATTAAATAATTCACTCATTATGCTGCTGCGACCTTACCCCACTGGGCTTTGTGTTCCAAGAACTGCAGGTAGAGCGTCAAGGTCCGCTCGTGTATGATGGGATAGGCTGACGCAATCTGCTGACCAATGGATGCGTGTCGAGAGCGTGGCTGACTCACGACTCGGCATGTGTTTATGCCAAACTAGTTTTGGAAAAGAGTTTATAATTGCTTTTACATGCACGGGGATTTCCTTGAGGCACAAGCACTTACCGGCAGCGGAAACTCTGCAGATTTCTTGATAAACGCCGGCACATCCGCAGTTGTTTGGGGCTTTTTTATGGTTGTACACTTTTGTAGCAGACGCTTGCCAAATGGGCTAAACTCTGGTTGAAAGTCGGCCGACGGCCATATTTCTGCAAATTCAGTTCCGAAACTTGACATCTCTTCTATTTACACCGTATTCTCCATGCAATTTCACCAGTAGGTGTAACGAAATTCCACTCTGCTGGCGCATTTTATATGCACGGCCCAAGGCCGTTTGTTTGTATTGCGACTTCAAACTAATTGGATGCCGGGCGCAACAGCTGGCCAGTGGGGCGAGCAGTGTTGCCACAAATGTATCAAGCAGTGTTCGACAATGTTGTTTTTGGAAATGTGCGCGATGTTCATACGCCATTTAATGGATGCAATGGTTTACTTAAATAAATGTTATTTTAAACGAAGCGCCTATCGTCCGTCCTAACATAGTGACTCTAGCACTCATTGCGCTTGCTGCTCGTACTGCCGGATTACTGGGAAAAGTGGTAAGTTGATTATGAGAACACTTTGTTCTCGATGCAATCTGTGAATAACTACATACATACATACATAGTTGTATGTATGTATGTATATGTATACATAAGTATGCGTTTGATCCTTCAACATACATATTTATGTGCTAGCCATAAATGTAATCTCTTTCCAAGCTCTGCCAGCAGCTGTTGTTGTTGTTGCTGCTTTGGCTCAATAATTCAAATTAAAATCTTTAAAAAATATATTGAATGGTTTCATTAGTAAAAAAAATAAAAGAATAATGAAAGATTAACGGGACTTTAAGTCAAGTAGCGATTAGAAAATAAGACGAAATGATGAAAATTATCTGTATAGAGAAATGAATTATCGTAGCGTTTTGTCGCTTATTTCATATTCGTAAAGTTATCAATGCATTTTTGGTGTATCTTTAAACGCCATCAAACTTTTACTTATAGAAGCTTGTATGGCGCGTATTGCTTGCGAATAGATATCGATATATCTATTAGCTTTCGATACACGGTGTCGATATTCAATTTGCGGTCACAGTACCATCCCTAATATACAAAACTCAATCAGCCTTTGCTGGGAAATGGCTAACTGAAATAAAAGTAAAATTTCAAAACCAAAAGCAATAGCATAGTAGGCATCGAACGGTCTGGCAAAAGTATTAATAATAATCACATGTGAACTGTCCGATGATAAACACAATCTAAATTAGAATTAAATACCCAGTAATTGTAAAAAATAAGAATGGTGATTTCCAAAGAAGTTCTCGGCGATTTTAAGGAGCTCTACGAGAAGGCCAACAATCTGGTAGAGTCAGAGAGTCGCGATGACCCTCCCACAGATCCCTACAGGTCACACTACAAGGCGCGTGACGTGCTCCAGAATCTGAAGAAGCAGCTGGACGACGAGCTACTCTCGATACGAGCCAACGAAGCCGATGGTAGCGAGGACGAGCTCTGCATCAAAGCCATTTTGGCATTCGTCTGCCGCGACTTGGGACGCATCTATATATACACCGAGGAGTCAACCGAGGGGGAGAAGTTGCTACAGCAGTGCATAGACCTGATTGAACCGCTGAAGTTCACCGGCGAAGGCATCATACCCTACATAGGAGCCGTCAATGAGCTGAGCATTGTGCTGGCCACGCGTCAGGAGTACGAACGCGCATCTAAGCTGCTGCTGAAGGCGGATCAGAGCTACGAGCAGTTCAAGGGCAGCGGCGTTGTCGCTCTTGGCATTTCAGATCTGTACAGCGCTCAGTGCGAACCGGCAGTGGCATCTGGTCCAGCAGAGCTTGAGAATCTCTACACGCTATGCTGTTTCTATCTGGCCCAAATGTACGGCCATCTAGGCGAGCCGGAGAAGTCGGCCGAATTCTGTCACCGCACGCTGCACCGCCAGCTCCAATATAAGTCGTACGATCCCATTGACTTTGCTCTGAATACGGCGACACTCTCCCAGTACTACATCGGAGAGGAGCGGTTCAAGGAGGCGCGTCACCATCTGGCCGCCGCCACGCTAATTATGGCCGAGCACGAGGCACATATGTTGAAGCCCCAAATGACGGAGCAGCAGCGCAATGATGTTTCGGAGACGTTCAAACATCGCTATGCAGACGTGGCCCGCTGTTGGGCCAAATATGGTCTGTATCTGCTGCACACATCCAAGCTGCGTTTGCTGCGCGATGATGATGATGTAGACGCGGAGACAGTAGTAAAGGCCACCAAGCGCTTGAGCGTCGCAGACGAAGATTATCGCTTTCTGGGCCTGGACTTGACGGCTTGTGAGAATCGTATTTCGTGCGATTATTGTCTGACCTTTGACGATGCCAAGCTCGTCTTCCACTTTGTCAACGAGTGGTTGGATCTGGCCAAGGACTACTACAAGGCCGAAACCGATGCCACAGAGTATGCCAAAATCATACAGGACTATGCTGAAGCCTACGAATACATTGCCTTCTTTGAGGAGGTGCCCGAAAATCAGGCGAAAATGCAGAAGCGTCGTGCCAAGTACCTGGAAGACCTGCTCGACTTGCTGGATCCCATTTTCTATTTAAAGATCTGCCGCGAGTGTTGGTATGGCGCCGGTACAGCGCAAGCCGCCATTCTGGACGTCAGGCTGGACATAATCAAGGCCAAGAATACACCATCCCCGGACGAGATCAAGAAGGTCAATCAGAGCTGCATGAAGGCCATCAAACACTTTGAGGCCTTCATCAAGTCTTACATGGCCGGACCTAGCCCCGACGCCGAATGGCGCAACAACATGGACACAGAGGAGCAGCGCACCATGCTCTATGCCCACTTCCACATTGGCCGTCTGTACTACAAGCTCATTAGCGGCAATCCGCACCAGCAACTGGAGCACATTAACAATTGTTTGAAGTTCTATCAGCGTTTCAGCACTGAGTGCGAGGCACGCAAGGAGGCGGCCATGCCGCTGCATGGCGAGATTGGCGTGGTGCGCGAAATGCTGCAACTGCTTCCCCTCAAAATTCAGGCCATCAAAGGACGTTTGCCTCCCCCTTCTCCGAACGCAGTAGCCTAATTAGATAGACAATAGAACGTTCCAGGACCAGTTTTGTATTTATTAATGCTTTAGTCCCAAATAAATGTTTCGTTAACAGAGACCTGATGCTCCGCCCACTTGCCCCCTCTCTTTCTCATAGAGGGAGGCCGCTATATTGCAGAAATCGCTTAAATCTACCTTTGGATTTACTTCGTGCTGGTGCAGAAATAATACGCTGGCGTAGAGATACGTTACATTCATTAAAACTGATCAAATCGGCATCCAAATGAAATGTTTTTTGGCTAGGATTCATGGAAATTGTGCGGCCATGCGTGAACCAGAATAGACCCCATGTTTTGAGTTCGTCAGTATAGTTATCCAACTTCTTGCGCTATATAAATTCGATCAAATTTTGTGGAACCGGATTATAAAAACTCTTCAAATATTGGGTTCGGCTAAGAAAGCGTTTTCCCGAACCTTCTTCATTTCTAAAAGGCACAAACAAATGAAAACCAATAATACCAATAATAAATACTTATAAATTTAAAAAATAAGCAAAATTGGGGAAAAATGTAATAAACAAAATTGTCATAAAAACATAAACTATTTTTGATCAATTGTTCCTCTTGCGGCGGTTTACACCAGGATTGTGTATATTTTAACGATATTGTGGTTCCGTTTGGTCAGACAATGCTAGAAGAGGTGTTGCAACCTTTTAAAACTCCATTTGTTGACATCCAAAATAAAGTTATTGCATAATGGTTTACTTTTCGTTTGCGACTAACATACAAACAGATTTTGTTTGTCTTTGCTTCTGCTATTGATTTGCGGCCTAAGCTATCAAAATATTGTGGGCCTATTTAGGCGGTTTTTTTTACCTTAACTGTGCACATGAATAATAAATATTTTAAATCTTGAAATACAATTATAATTCTCTTTAGCCGTCTCCGAAATCTTGGCGATCATCCAGTCAGACGGACTCGTGCTGCGTGGGTGGACTTTGCTGTTTCAGAAATCCCGGCGTTCATCCAGACTGACGAACAAACGGAAAAAGCTATGTCTTGTCATGTCAATCAGGAATATATATGAGTACTTTAAGCATCCTTTTTCAATCTTTTTTCAAACGTGTAGACAAAATTTAGAAATGTAATTTCTTGGGAAAGTTTCTTTTAATAATTTAAAAGATTTCATTTGCATTAACTTAGTAAAACAATTTTTTTTATGGATAATTGCTTAAGATAATAATTATGAACAATTAAATATAAAATGTTGGCAAACTATAAAAGCATAGAAACAGGTTTGGAGTGATAATGTCAATAATTTAAATGTACTTATTTTCGTTCTTTAGATAAAACAACAAATTTATGAAGCATGTAATTATGTTAACGAATTAATTGTTTTAAAAGATAGACATACTCTATATTGTATTGTATTCTATATTGTAAATTAAGTTTAAGTCATATTACTTAGCAAATCAAGTTATACCCATAAAATACGAAGAATATAATTAATTACTAAAAACAATCTTTTTCTAATGGATATGGTAAGTACGTATACATGATCGATTGAAGGATCGTGCCATATAAGCACCAATTACAATTATTGGGTGCCCTCGTCCGCGCTTCTCATACGAAGAACTTAACCGAAGCCATTTGCATCATTAATAGCTGGTTTATCCAAATTTATTTAAAAAACAAACTAAAAGCATTTAACCCAAGCCACTTTAGTTAGATAGATTAGATATTGATATATCTGATTATATTATATTATGTAAATTAATTTTTCCGACTACATTGAAACTGCCCTACTTTGCGTTTCGAAGCCACATTCAAGCACAAGAAAAGGAACGCTGTGAATGACGTCATCAAGTTTTCTAGCACTGACTCGCAAGGGCCCTTTTAATGCTTAAGCCATCATTGTCTAACAGGTGAACATAAATGAGCTGTAGGCAAATGCATTGCTTGTTTATTTTATGTGAAACAGCTGTTTTTTGTTGACATTCCGCAATTCACCGTTAGAATGACTTTTGTTTACATTTAAGAGCAACCAATAGGAGAAGTGCATTTTGTTTACGTTTCTCAAAGCACCGCAAATATCGCTTTTGTTTACTTCTTGTTTTGCTTACATTCACAATTTACTTTCCAGCCCGCTTGTTTACTTGCTGATCGTTTATGCTCGCCTGGTGTATGCATAGACGACTGCATCGATTTTTAGTATGAAAACCAAAAAAACGAAGACTCACCAAGATGCCTGCGGCCTTTAACAACTTTTAAGCCACTCTTTTCGACCAGGTGAACATAAATGAGGAGTAGGCAAATGCATTGATTGTTTATGTCATGTTAAGCAGCTGATTTTTGTTTACCATTCGCAATGCACCGCAAAGATCGCTTTTGTTTACATTTTAAGTGCACCAATAAGAGGGCGCCAGCTTGTTTACTTTTTGTTTTGTTTACATTCAGAATTTATATCCCAGCCGGCTTGTTTACTTGCTGATCGTTTATGTTCGCCTGGTGTATGAATACACGCAATGCATGTAAATTCATACAAAGATCGAACAAATTAAATTCCAAGTTGAGCGGGCCCCATAACGACATAAAACCAACCCCATCTACCAGGTGAACATAAATGAGGAGTAGGCAGGTGCAATGCTAGTTTATTTAACACTAAGCAGCTGATTTTTGTTTACATTTCGGGATGCACCGTTTGGATCGCTTTGTTTACATTTGGCATGCAACCAATAGGAGAAGTCCATTTTGTTTACATTCGCAAAGCACCGTATAGATCGTTTTTGTTTACATTTTAAGTTTACTTTTTGTTTTGTTTATATTCATAATTTAAATCCCAGCTAGCTTGTTTACTTACTGCTTACTTATGCTCGCCTGGTGTCTGAATATACGACATAAGTTGCCAGGCCCAGGCCGACCAAAGCGGCGTTCAAAAAAATGTTCATTAATTTAGTATATTTACAATTAAATATGTAAAGGAATATTTATATGTAGGAATAACATTTGGTATACATATATAGTGGGAGTAAGTAAAGTCAGGCCACTAGTTTGGCGTACTCTGCAATGTGCATTACTCCGTGCTCCAACGAGGCAATATGTAGATTAGCGCCGCTTGTATAGTTCAGATTGATGTGGGGATTGTGCAGCTCAGTGATGAGTGTGCTGCAAGCGGCCGCCGGATCTCCACTGCCGGAGAGCGAGCCCTGAAAATGTGAAGGGTAAGAGGATAATGACTGAAGGCAGCAGTCAATAAACAACATTGACTTACTATCCAGAACTCATTGCCCGGCAATGCGTTGGCATCCCAAGCGTACGTGACTATAGGCAACATATTTTCCGGCAACTTGTCGGCTGGGTTCCGATTGGAGAAACGCACCAAGATGCCACCGTTTGGATGCGTCGTCGTCGGTATAAGCGTTTGGTCCTCCAGTCCTCCCCATTTGGACAAATGAAACCACGAGAAGTGCACACTACCTATGTGGCTCAGTCGTTTGGCAAGGACGCGCAGGCGTTCCTCGAATGTTTCGAGAAAGATATTCGTCTGCTGTTCGGTCTCTTTCCACACTCCCAGGCCGTAGCCAACGATGTGAACATAGGCTGGCTTACCAGCCGCCACAGCACGTGCCTCACACTCTAGGAGCAGCGTATCGAAGGTGATGGCGTATCGCTTTTTCATCACAACATTGTCGAATATAAAATCTTTTTGAGTGTGGGAGAAGCGTCGATTGTCAACCACCACTTGGTCGAAGCAAAAGTCCTGTGGTTCTTCATAGAATTCGCGCCAGATGCTGCGATAATCATCAGCGCGTGTTCTTCTATTCGAAGCTCCATAGCCAGTTGCGCGTACATTCTGCTCGGGTGTTATCATAATGTCCTGCCACTCCATTACGTTGGGTCGCTCGAAACGTCCTCCAATTAGTCCCATAATAACGCCCTCCCTTTCAATTGTGGACTTGTCCAGAACAACTGCCCCGACATTATTACGACTGCCATTGTTGATGAATTCAGAGTGCGAGGAAACATAAAGCAGCGCTGACAGCTTGATTTCGTCGTAGCTCAGAACGTTCTGAATCACCAACGGCGGCTTCTCAGTAGGGGTTCCTATATTCTCAAATCCGTCGCTCCCACGGCTGCCATCCAGCAATTCGAATGCGTCATTGCTGCTCATAAAGCTCACGCAGCGCTTACTCAGCAGCCGTTGCACGAAATCCACCAGGCTCATATTTTTGAAGACCAGCAACTCCTGGGCGGTGCCTGTCGAGATAAAATTATTCTATACATACATACTCGTATGCATTAACTGCCATCGTTGCTACTCACCAAACTTTTGTTTGTGCTCCAGAAATCGAAGATACAAGAAGAGCGTGCGCTCATGGATGATGGGATAGGCAGAAGCAACCTGGTGCCGGATGTTGTTCCAGCGGTCCTTTGGCTGCGACATCACACGGCAGGTGTCTATGGGGAACTGCAAATAGGGCTTTGAATTATTCTCAAGATATCACACGTGTATTCTTGGAAAGTATGCACCTTGCATGGAAAGTTTTTGGAAAGTTCCATTAACTTTGATAAATCCACCGACTTGGCGTCGGTGTTGGGTTTCTTCACAGCTTTGCATGCCTCCAGCAATTGTTTGGCAAAATCAGTGAGGGCGGGCAGGCCGGCCGAAGTCTGAGGCCAAACCTTCTGAAATTCAGGACCAAAGCTAGAAGACGCCTTCATCGTATGTCGTACGTTACGTGCTGTGCGCAAATTGTTTGTGCATTGGAAAAACCCCAAGTTCTGATTAAAGGTCAGAACGTATTGGAAAACAAAACAAGCGATAATAAATGCCTCCATGCACTTATTTCACAACAAATGCAGTGTAATGTAATACATAGTTTGCCGGCGTTTTGCGATCGCTGCTTTGGTGTTGCTGCTGTTATGTTGTTTTTATTTGGCGAGCTATCAGGTGACTCCGTAGGGTTGCATCTGTGCGGTCGGTGTTGGAAAACGTGCAAACATTTTGAATTAATTGATGTGAAATGATTTGAAATAAATTCTTCGTAATAGCAATTGCTTTTAGCTTTATAAGCGAACTCTGCAATGGAACAAATTTATTATATTTTATTAAATTGTTTTGTATAAAACAAAAAAATATCTATTTATGGGAAGCTATCTCTGCTTCGCTTATTTAAAACAGTTTTTATTTAGAAATGTTTAAACAAAAGTAAGTTTTCTGCAAATTTTGTTTATAAATAAGTTATCTGAAATGAAATGCCTTATTAAGCATGAGAAAAGTACACGAAAATAAGAATAAAACATTTGAAAAATAATAAAAACATAATAATAAAAATGAGCCAACAGAAATGTTATATAACTGGAAAGTCGGCTAAAACATTATTATTAAGCGGCAATCAAGAGGTTGATAGTTATTTCCAAATTTAAAATTTTCTGTGGTTTCTTGGCTGTGTCGGGCACTTCTGAGACAGCCCTCTAGGACTATGATTCACAGTCGTCCATGGATAATATACGTACATTGTAACATTATATACCATTTTATTTTTTTCGAAAGAGAAACAACCGGGTGTTCAGTAGAATTTTTCTTTATTTCCAACATATTCATGATCTTCAACACTCGCCAAAACATAAAAATGAATCGTTCTGTATTTCTGTTTTTACAGCTTATAGTTCTTGCTTTGAATATTTGTGAGTCTCTGTATAACTGATGTTGCTGCTCGATCTGGGCATGATAGTAATACATGAAGTGCATGCCACACGAACGAGATGTATACTATTTAGCTCACATTAAATGTACGAGTACTTATGTTTAGCTGTGTGCAGCATGAAGGTGTTTATACTTTAAACGTCGATCATGCATCCCTTTCCTTGACCTTTACCTTTACATTTACCTTTAAGTGTGTAAGTTTATTATAACGCTTTATAATAGGTAATATTTTCACAAATTGTTTTCCCAAGAAATTGCTTTTCAAATCATGTATGTTTGTAAATATGTTGCTTAACGCTTTTAAAACTAAACTAGAGTTATGGTTTAGTTCGTTTCACAATGGCCAATTCAGAGTCAGATCAGTTGGCCGATAATCATCACACGACTAACGCATTATTTGACATGTTTGTTCTTGTTGTGTCTTGATTGAAATCCTATCAAGAGTGCAGATGTTGTGTGGAAATTATCTGACTGGCTGACCGACGCTTCGGTAGCTTCGCTCGTTTACAATTAAATATTTAGTACTTATGCATTAAAAAACAAAACTTGCGATATAAGTAGTATACGATTTGAAAACATTGTCTCAAAAATCAAAATAGTGTCAAGCCATTGCCCTAAAAGTAAGTAATTCAAAAATAATTGCTTTAATCGAGGGAGTTTCTTTTTTGTTTCTTCAACACACAACACACGACACGAAAACTGAGCAAAAACTAAATGGATATGGAATTCAAGATATTGATGGCTCTACGACCATTCAAAACTAAGTGGGCTAGGTCGGTGTTTAGTTTAAGAGCCACAGCTTCTCAATTGACTATTTCGACTTCGAGTGGCTTCAAATGCATTAGAGTGGGGCGGGGGCGGGGGGGGGGGGGGGGGGTGTGAATGCATTTGGTTGGTTTGAGTGCACTCGCAAATGTTTATCATTGATTTCATCAAATGAATAAATACTGAACGAGTGCATGGGTGCGTGATTTATTGCAAAACAACGCGACGCTAATAATAACAATGATAACGACAATAATAATAATCATAATAGCATAAATATAGTAGCTTGTAGTATATAATCATAAGTTCGTACGCAGCATTTGAAGAGAAGTTGATTTCTTTTCATTCATTGTTCATTACGTTCTTCTTTTTTTTTTTTTATTAAACTATACATAAATATAATTTATATGTTCTCATAATAATATTTATACAGTTTTCTGTTTGAGTTTTTGCTCGTGCATGAATAATCAAATAATTGTACATACATATAGTATATGCATTACGTTCTATTAATAATATAATATGACAGAAATATGTTTAAAGAGTGTATTTCTTCGCATCTCAGATGAGTTACTCATTTGTCAATGTGGCCCCTAGTATGGGTTTAAGGTTTTATGTTTTGTTTTACAATTTAAGGATTCATGCACCAAATGTGCCATATGAAAACGATAAATGGTAATAAAAGAATAGAATCTAATGAATAAGTCAAATGTAGTATTCATCTAAAGCTTGCTGCCCTGCACACCCCATACAATACCAATGCTGTTTCGTAAACAGATGGACATAAGAAGTTCTAGGAGTACAGAGCATACAAATTACATTGGACAAGTCTTGCGACGTCAACTTTTAGGCAATAAGTTCCTACCTAGTTTTTCCTCTCTAGTTGTTGACGAGGCTGCAATGTCGAACGGAAGAGCTGCGCCCAAAACTTGCATTTAAACCGAAATTTCTATCATCTAATAGAGGGGGGCTTTCAACTAAGAGGCTATGCCTCTATCTAATGTATATGTATACATACATACAAATAAATATTCTTATAATGGATCAAGTCGTGCCTGATCTTTAGTTCTTAAGGGGTTTTGGTTTGGTTAACGTTAATCTTGAATTGGATTGGTTTGGATTGGCACATTACAAGTATTACATACATACAATACAAGGTTGTTTTTTGTATTCGTTTTTGTCCTTTTGCTCTCAAAGTGCACAAAAGTATGCTATGTATTTCCCATGATTATATGATACTAACAAACAAAATTGTGCCAAAAACCACATGCAGGTGTATTCAAATTATCTTACTTTTTAAGCCTTCAACTGCTATGAATGATTGAAATTCAGATTCGTAGTATCTGCTTCATTCTTTTAAATTAAAGATGCGTGCAAAATGAGTGTTTGGTGAAGTGTTTTGCAAAGATCTAGTGACGAAAGTTTTCCTCAAATGCATCTGGTTAGTAAAGTAAAGTATTTGTGATCAATACTGTTTCAGTGTTCATCAACGTTGTTAGCAATTTTATCGCTAAAGCTTATACGATCGATTCGTTGAGTGCATCAATCAAATATTGGAAATCAACTGTGTTATTTCTACCTTCGTCACTAGCTTGCTAGCTGTTTAAGTTCAAAAAAAAAGAGACAAAGACAAGAAAAAGGCTTAGTACTCGTAAATGTCAATTCGTTTGTAATCGAATGTTTTTGCTTATCACATTTCTAAAAGTTCATCAATTTCGTCTAGGTTTAAGGTTTAAGTTAACTTTTAATTAAATTAATATTACCTTGTATTAGTTAACTAAACGTTTTCTCTTCTCCCTTATAATAGCACATCGTAAATAATTTTTAGGGCACATTCCAAGTCAAATAAAGGTGTGTGTGTGTTTTTATGTTGTAATGGATTTAGTGGATGATTATGCATCACTATAATGGTGCTTTGTGGCATACTTTGGAATAACTTTTGGTTTTTTGTTTTTCTTTTGTTTTTGTTTTTTCTTTTCGTTTTTTGCCTTTTTGTTTTTATTTTGGTTTTCTGCAACAACTACACATACAATTTGTTTGGGATGCAACATAAATCATCTGAAGCTGCACTAAATCATAGTAAAGAAACTTTGCCATACTTTTAATTTACTGTAGTTTGTAGTTTGTATTGGCTGTTTGTTGTTCTTGTTAATGACGTTGCTGTTGTTGTTGTAAACTTTCAATTAAGTTATTTCGTTTTTTGAGTTCTTCATTGCAATATCAAAACTAAGAGAGGTTTGTCTTTCAAAAAGTTTGCTGTTATTCATTTTTTCCAACAAGTTTTGCAATTTTTTCATTTTTCATTTTTCATTTCTTGTTTTGGTTTTGGTTTCTACATTTCTCGACCATATATACTACATATGTACGTATGTATGTATAAATATATAGAATATATATATATATGTATATATAACTGCACGGTAGGGGTGTTTCATTTCAAATATATAAAGACTTACTATTATTATTATTATGACATTTATAAACACTTAGTATGTATGTATGTATATTACAAAGTTTATTTCGATTACTTGTATATATGTATGTATAACCTCTGCTTCGTAAACAGGTATACATACGAGTATATGTACGTGTATGTATAGTATGTAGTATGTAAGAGTGTTATTTGCATTTCTTCTCTGGGACAAGTATATAGTAATTGGCATTATCTTGATAGTTTCTATAAGGGCTCTACGACATAAGGAGGAAGTTTTTGAATGCTGTGTGGGAGGGGAGGGAGGGGGGGCTCTAGGCTTTACTCCTTATTTTTGTGTTCATTTGCATTCTCCGATTAAATGCTTTTCAATATGATTATTATGATTACGTTTTCAAAAAAAAAAAAAAAAAAAAACAAATTACAAACATGTTACTGGTAGTACAATATTTTTAGTTTTTAGTTGGTTTAATACTTCTTCTATGTATGTAGTTAGAATGTTTGTATGTACTATAATGTCGGGGGTATGCGTATTACCTTCTGTTCTCATGTTCTCAGAGACTTGTGTGGGATTTCTGGATAGTCAGTTTTTTCTTCTGTTCTTCTTCTTGTCGTTGTTGTAGATTATAATTAGTATTTTGTTTTTGTTTTTGTCTGGGTTGCTGGGTTGGTTGGTTTCTGCTTTGCTAATACTCGTAATACTCATTAAAATACTAAGTTAATATTGTTGTTGTTGTAATTATTGATAGGTGGAAGGTTGGAAACACGTATAAGTATTAATTTGTTGTTGTTGCTGTTCTGAGGCAAACCATATATGTACTTTTTATCCTATGTACTATATATGTGTGTGTGTGTGTGTGTTTGGCTTTTAGGAAACCCGTTCGTAGGTCTGGCCGGCCGGCTATATCAGCTCTTTATGTATACTCGTCTGTACATATGTATCTGTACATACAAGTATGTGTTTGTTCATAGCCCGACGACTGTGCCCCAATCTCGCAATACTCTCGTACATACATATTTATAATAATACAAAGCTAGTCGCATACCATATACATACTCTATATACATGCATATTCTCAACCCGCGTCTCGTCTCATCATCTTAAATCAATATAAAGCACAAGTGTTTACTTTTTTCATTCCAGTTGAATTTTTCTTCTTCGTATTCTTGTTCTCTTTCTTGTTGTTTATAATGAATTCATTTCTCGTTCATTTTCATTTCATCTTTAAAAGTGTACATTTGTGTGTGTACGTAAATGTATGTGTGTATGTGTGTGTGTGTGTATATATAAATATATAAAGAAGTATATTTGTATATATATATATATATCTATATATATATATATATATATATATATATATATATATATATATATATATATATATCTATATATATTATATGTTTACATATATGTATGTAATGTATTTAATGTATTTATGTTTATGTTTAGCTATCGTTTTAAACGTGGGTGCTGCTTGGGTTTAGTTTTAGTTTTCATGCATTTCTTTAGGCATAGAATTCCGTTTTTCCTTGGGTTTTGTAGGCCTCCTCCTCGATTTTGTACATATCCATTAGCTGTTAATGTTTTGTATCGTTTTTGATTATTTTTAAATGTTTGCAGCATGACAGTATACGAAAAATAAAGGGGGAAAAATTGCAAGAAAAGTATTGGTTAAGTATTGTTCTTCAAATATAAAGATTCATTCAAGGATTAGGCGTGGCGCACAGCAAACGATGAACTGATTGGTTAGGGAAGGCAGGTAGGGGGAATAGTACGATACTGTGCTGCACAAGCGAGAGCCACCGAGACAGAGAGAGCGAGAGAGGGAGAGAGCAACAGTCTGAGTGGGGGAAGAGATAGAGAGTGTCAGATAGAGTTACGGGATAGGCACATGTCACTGGGTTCGGGGCCATGTTCTGATATGCACCAAAAATACATTGAAACCACCAATACTAGTAGAAGCGACTAAGGTTTGAACTAAGAAAATGAAATTTAATTAAACATAACTAGACAAAAAAACGTGTGCTGAAAGAAATGAGTGCACTCATTCGTATTCTTATTCTTCTCCTTTAAATTATCCTTGAATTATTCTTGAAATTGTGTAAAGCCTTAACAAACTAGTATCCCTTGGAATTGAATAGCATTTGAAGGCTTCATCGCTTTAGATAATCTATTCACAACACTCGTACATTTCTATTTGATTTGAAAATAAATTCCTATTTTTTATACTATAATTTAAATATAATAATATATATACTGGAATAAAAAAGGAAATCTAATTTAACATAACTAGACAAAAAAGCGTGTGTAAGAAGAAATGAGTGCACTCATTCTAATTCTATTCTTTATTCAAGCACATTCTCGCTTGAATTCTGTTTTCGCAATATTCTTGAAATTGTGTAAAGCTTTAATACCTAAACTCATTTACATTCATTTCTATCTGCAAAAATAAACTACATAGTATCCATATGAATTGAATAGCATTCGAACGCTCCATCGCTTTAAATAAACTATTTACAACACTCGTACATTGTTATGTGTATTCAAAATAAACAAATGCCTTAATTTTTCAATGACTCATGCATTCACGTCTGCTTGCGAATGCATTCATTTGCAGAAGAATGAGTGCCTTGCGGTTATAGATATAATCATTCACTGCATTCATTCAAAATTCGATCTACAGCTAACACTGACGGGAAGAGGTTCCAAAGCAATTTAAATTAACAAAACATTGGATCGTTGGATAAAGAAAGTCGTTTACAAACATAATACTTGAAACAGAAACATTAAAATTATGGCTACACATAATTACATTTACAAACGTATAAATAATAGACGATAAACTAAAAAAAAAAACCAAAAAAAAAAGAAGAAGAAGGAAGCAATATAACAATAAATATTAATATACATATTCATATATAATAAACTCTAAATATACACATATAGAGAAATTGATAATGATAGTTACATCTTAGCAGTTAGTTAAAATTTAGCAGCTACGTTTTACGTTCGAAGTTAGATTTTCGTTTAAGGAGTCAAAATCGTGTTTCTAGCGCATATCATATCACTATATAGAGCGAGCGATACGTGCTACGAGTACTCTGACAATCGACAATCGAATCGGAGTAACGACATTGGCTGGATTCATGGGTGGTGGTGGTTGGTGGTGGTGGTGGTTGTTTTGGTGGTGTTGGTACGTATATATTAACGGTATATCGGTCATCGGTCATCGTTTAACGGTTTGTTTTGGTCTAAAGTACAGTCTCAATACTGGTTATAGTGTCGGCTTGCGGCCGAATTTCGTTTAGTACCTTTTGCACGTCGGTACTAAATTCCTCGACTTGCTTAGCATGCGCCAATTTCAATTTCTCCATGGCGCGTCCCTGCTTTACGCCGATTTGCTGTGAATAGGTTGAGAGAGTGCAAAAATAGGGAGGTTAATAGGGCTTATTAGTTAAATAGCAAAATCGTCGCTTGTCACCTTCTTCTCCTCCATAAAACGCTTGACATTGTTCTGACGCTTTTCGCGCAAGCGACGATCCTTCTCGTTCTTAGTTTTCAGCGTCTTGTCATTCTGGACCTCCTTGGCTGTATCCGCGGATGTTTTGGCCTGCTTGGCATTAAGTTCTTTTATATCTCTGTGGGCGACATTTGAGAAAATTGTTGGCATCAGAATTGTCGGAGAGAGAGAGAGAGAGAGAGAGGGAGAGAGAGATGAACTTATTTCACCTGGCATGACGGTCCTCGAGCTGCTTGATCTGCGCCGCCTGTACGGTCAGCATGAGCGCCTTCATGGCGTCCTGGGAGTCCTGCACGTGCTGGCGCAACATGTCCCACTCCTCCTTGCGATGGCGCGCAATCATGTCGGTCCACTGTTTGGTCTGATCGTTGATGGCGTTCTTGATATTGGCATCGTTGCGAATATCGTCTTTGCTCTTTCCCTTGATCAGCTTATCGATGGCTGCGTTCTGCATCTTCTGCACCGATGTACGCTCCTTGGCGTGCTTCTTGCGGAGCGTGTCCAGCTCCTTGATCTGTTTCTTGCCCACCTTCTGGAAACCCTTCTCCTGGCGCAGCGACTCCAGTGTCACCGGCTCGAAGACAAGTGGAGGCTCCTTCTTCTCCTCCTCCTTGGCCTTGCCAGCATCGCGAGCGGCCCCACCGCTCTGCTCCTCAATGCCCAGCGCCTTCATTTGTTCGTTTTGCTGCTTGGCCGCGCCAGCGAAGCCACGCGGATCCGATAACATGGCCATGAAATCCTCAAAACCATCAGGTACATAAATCTTTAGCTCGATGTTGACAAACAACATGGGGAGTGACATCGGGAAGTTCGCTTCTGTGCGGAGCGAGACGTGGCGGTAGCCCGCCTGTAAACCGTCCAGCGGCAATATGCGTTGCCCAATCATTTTTCCGCTCTCCTCATAGACGCCGAAGCGCAACACTGCCAGATCCGGCAACACCACCTTGCGGAAGACGAAGGCGTCCTCATTGTAGACCGGATTCAGGCCGTTGTTCGGCACCAGACGGGTGCGGAACTCTTTCTTGACCGTGTCCGAGGGTAGACCAAACATGTCCACCTCCACATAGGTGCCGACCTTCTTGTCCGACAAGAATTGACCGGCAATTACCTTCACCGAACACTGGGCCGCAATCACACCATCCACGGGGGCATCGGCGAACGGATCGAAGTCCTTGTCGGCGCGTCGCATAAAGTCGGGCTTCAGCAGATAGCCGCAACCGCCATTATATTCGAACTTGCCCTGGTTGAGCTGCATCGGTAGATCGGATGTCTGGAAGTTCAGCGACACCATCTGGCAGCCGGCATTCCAGAAGACCTGCGGCATATAGTTGGAGGAATCGGCGCGTGTGCCCTTCGGGTAGATGCGGGACATCTGGCGCTTGTTGTAATTGACAAAGTCGATGGAGCTTTGCTTCAGATAGTTCATGCCCGCCGATTCCGCAAACGAGGACATGTTGTGGGCAATATTTTTCTCTGCAGAGATGGAGATCGTTTAAGTGGGTGGGGGGAGGGCTTAGAGGATAGGGTGAAATACTGTAGCTTACCAATTGCCTTGTCGAAGCCCTGGAACTTAATGGGCTGCGCATAATTGACCATAGATGAGAGCCATGGATGCACATTGGTTGTGGAACCGCTGTAGTTGGCGGCAGCAGCTTCTGCCTCAGCACCGCCACCGCCCTCGGCAGCCGCATCCGCGCCGGCGGCAGCAGCATCGGGGACCGGAGCCGGGGCTGCAGCAGCTTCCGGTGGCTTGCCAGCACTGGCATCCTCCTCGGGATCATCGTCGGTCTTCAGCTCGCCTTTGAGCCACAGGTCCAGCTCGACCTTCTCGACCTCGGGCTTCATGCGTTTGTTCTTGATGAGTATCTTGCGCTTCAACTTGCACGGCGGTGGGAGTGGCAAACCAGGTTCGAGCTGCGATGAACCAGCAATGGACGGATTATGCTTTCATTCGTGTTCATGATGGATTTGGATGCTTACCGGATGATCGGACAGCGGCTCCTTCAGCAGCAGTTCACCAAAGAAGTCATCACAGTATTTCGCTAGTTTGTATTGCTGGGCACGATTGCAATGGTTCTCAAAGGACAATATAACCGGGTACTCGGACGAAACGAAGGCGCAGTCCGCTATGGCTTGTATGCAATCCTGCGGATCAATTGGGGGGATTGTAATGAGTCTTGAGAGCTTAATTAGCCCGCAGTGGAGCACTACCTACCTTGAACAAGATCTCAGTGCAGTAGGCGTGACCGTGGGTAACGATCGGTTCCTCGTCTTCGCCCTTTCCATTCCAACAGTCGAGCTCCACACAGCGACAGCCTGCTAGTAGTGTTTGGCGATACATCTCCACCGAGCTCTTGCCGCCGATCTGTCGGCCCGACAAATAGGTGTTATGCGAGCTATTTATATAGTAATGTGCCAACGGCTGATCCATTTCCATGTAGAAGTCTAGGCGATCCAAAAATACTGGCGCGTTCTCATCGGACATGAGATAACGTTTGAAGCCGTCCAAAGACATTTGCACTGCAATTGCGAAAGGAGCGAGAGTGAGGGAGAGAGAGAGGGAAGAGAGAGAAGAGATAATATCTACCGTTCTTCTTTTTCTCCTCGTCCAATTCATAGTCATTGATAATCTCCGTGCAACGTTTCTCCTCGTAGAGCGGAAATAGAATTTCATTCATGCGCGGATCGCGCTGCTTTTCGTTCATGAATTGCACAAACTGTTCCAGGCTGATGAAGTCCTGTTTGCCCTTGGTGCTGCAAAAGGTCATATAAAGGTCAACACAAACGAATCATTCGCCCAGCTTTAAGCACGGCGCCACACTTACATCGATGTGAACAGCTCCTCGATGTCGTTACGGGGACACACCTTGTGGTAGAGGGCATAGAACTTATCGAAAGTAAATTGTTCCTTCGTCATGGTGCCACTCTTATCATCGGGCAGACCCGCATCTTTGATGCAGGTGTAGACCAGCTTCTCGGTTTTACCAGATGCAAATGTTTTGGCCAACGTCTTTACAGGAATCTTGCCGCTCTTCTCCACGCAGTAACTCAAACGCATCCAACTGTGAATTGAATAGATTCAATATATTTTACCCATTCATTCAATTTACAAAGAACACACAATGTTTATAGCTGACCAATTAGTTGCATTCAAAGCTACACACAAAACATTCAATGCAATACAATACGAGTACAATGCTATGCAATACGAAGTCCCACTTACCTGCATGTTCGACCAAATACTTAAACCTACGCCAAGCTAAAATGAATTTCATTTTCAACAAAGTTGAATAAATAATTACAACAATAAATGAATACACTAATTCGCCTTTTTAATTGCATTTTATCCTCAAATTGAAGAAGTGCAATGGAATATTGTAAAAACTGAAGCAGAAACCGACTGAATGTTGTTCAAATAAAAGACAAACACATTCTGTAATTGTTTACTTCATTCATTACTCATTGATTTAAATAAATTGGCAGTAAACAAGATAGCCGTTGAAATAATAATCCAATTGAAATGGCCTCATTGAATAACAATGCGTTATTAACATTGGTTGAATGGGTACTCTTATTGAAAATAAATATGATTTTTAATTATCACGTGCATTGGAATTGTTATTCAACTCAGCAGAAACCAAAGCAGACTCTGACTGAGTGTCATTCGATTAAAAGACAAATACATTCTGTAATTGTTTACTTCATTCATTATCCATTGATAAACAAGATAAACAAGAGCCGTTTAAATTATAATCGGATTGAAGTGGCCCCATTGATTAACATTGGTTAAATGAGTATTCTTATTGAAAGTACAAGCATATATGATTATTAATTATGACGTGCATTGGAATTGTGATTCAGTTCAGCAGAAATTAAATCTGAAACGGACTGAATGTTATTCGATCAAAAGTTAAATACGTTCTGCAATTGTTTACTCCATTCATTACTCAACGAATCTAATAAATTGACAGTAAACAAGATAGCCATTGAAATTATAATCGAATTGAAAAGGCTCCATTGAATAACGTTGGTTGAACGTTGGGTATTTTTATTGAAAGTATATTTGATTTTTAATTATGGCGTGCATCGGAATTATGATTCGACTCGAATTGAAACAGACTGAATGGAATGGGAAAAAAATTAACAAATTTCCAAAACGTAATCAATTGGAATTGAATTGTAATTAGCAGCAATAATTAGTACAGCAGATTGACTGAAACAAACAGGGCTAATAAGTTGCATATCGAATTGATATATAAACATGTGTATATTTTGATGAAACTAAACAACATGAACGGTAAAAGTAGAATAGAATTGTTTTGGATTTGGTTTGCTTTATTGATTCGGAAAGTGGAAAGTGAATTTTTCAGCGAAAATTCAATAAAAATATTTTAGAATATCAGCTTTTGAAATGCAAATGGAGAATATAATTGAAAATGAAGTTGACGCGAAGGTTGAAAGTAGAAATTGTTAGACGGCATCAATTTCAGTTGCATTTAATTGATTTTCCTCAAGGCAGGCCACTAAGTAGGTCAGTCTCAGCTATTGGCGAGGGGTCAGGTATGTAATTGCAGTCAATAGGTGAACCCATTTGAGCAAATTGTCGCATAAATAATGCAATCCAGAGCACAGTTTTCGAGCTAAGCGAGCTAATTTACAGTACAAACAGTAATGCATGCCAAGAAAGGAAACCGAACAACCACCCAAAACCACCTAACCACCTAACCACCCAACCATCTAACTTGGTTCCCATTGGGGATGGGACCTTGTCTTTCTATTCTACGCACACTTCTCTCCTTACATATGCACTCAACTATATACCTTCCTGTGTGTGTGTGATAGTGTGTTTGGGTGTCTGTGTGTTTGTGTGTGTGTGTGTATATATATATATATATATATATATATATATATATATATATATATATATATATATATGGATATATATATATGGAGGTTGGCATCGTTATACATAGGAGCGTGTGGGCGATCCACAAGCAATGCAGTTGCGAACGTTTTGAGTTCTGGGCCTCCCTCCCCAGTGGCATCACACGACAAGTACAAGCACAACCACAGCCATAGCCACAGCCACAGCAACAGCCACACATTAACCACAAACACACACACACATGCACAGACATGACACACACACACACACCCAAACACACACACTCGAGTGCACGTGCTGCAGTACGTCAACGAAAAGTAACGCATATTTAATGATGCACAGCGCACACTCATTTGCCATTTACCATTTCCCGTTTTCCATTTTCTATTTACCATTTCGCATTTCGCATTTCCCATTTTCTATTTTTCACTTTTTATTCGCAACATGCAGCTGTTTTGGAATTTGTGTTTTCCACACACGATTCCGATTCCTGCGAAATGGCTCAAAGGGTTTACATGAATTTTCCGCAAGGGCATCTGTATGTGGCACATCAAGGAATGCCACGCATCCAAACATACTCTCTCTCACACACACACACACACACACACACACGCACTTGCGTTTCTTCATCTTTCGTTTATAAAATTATATGTATTTTAATTCAATTCAATTCAATTCGAAGACGCTTCTGGCACTTCTCATTCAATTAAGGAAAACTTGCAACTAAATACTTTAAGCAACAAATTAAGTTTCCGCAGATTGCTTCAGATTCGAACAAATTTAACGAAAATTGAGTTAGGGCATATGAAGGGAACGAAAATTGTTTTTTTCATTTTCTTTCAAGAGACAGAGAGCGACCGATTTGAATTCAGTTTCAGTTCACGTTTCCATAATTCCACTGGAATTACTCTGAGTTATCAGAGAAGCATAATACTCCTACAAGTGAGCAAGCAAAGAGTGTAATCGATTTCTCATATATTTCTGAATAATAGATTTAAGGACCTATCAATTAAATCACAAGCCTAGAGCTTTATATTTTAAACAAAATATTTGATGTAAGTCAATCCATATCGACTATATAACGAATATAGTAAAAATCGGAAAAAATAGGAAAACAAGTGTCCTGCCAAAAAAGGGGCAAAAAAAAAACAAACTCCATAGTGCTATGGCTGCCATAATAGTGCCTTGTGTAAGGTAATGGATTTTTTCTCGCTCAAGCTGAAAATTGTAAAGAAATAAATGCATCGTAGAAGGGAAGAGGCGCATAAAAAAAGAAATAACAAAATATGCAATCAAGTAACAGGAATTATAAATAAACTGTAGAGCCAAAGAGTAGGACAAATGTTTTGGTGGGGACGGAGACGAAGACGGAGACGGAGACAGAGCTTCAGTTAGCGCTTTGGCAGAAGCCAAGCGTGCGATGCAAATTAAATAAATTTATCTTAGCCTGAAAGATTGGCGACCAAAGGAAGCGCCAACTATGCATGCCACGGCAGCGCTCGAAAGGGAAACGGAAGCGGAAACACAAACGACAATTGAACGAACGCGCCAAAAATAGAAAAGCAAGCGCCAGCTTCTGGGTTGATGCTCTCCACGCTTAAGTATGCTGTTGTTGTTGCTATTGTTGTTTTTGTTGTTCTTGCTTGTTTCGTTGCCAACAGCTAGACAGCATGTCGCCGTTAAGCTGTAGGAAAAGTTAAAGCTGCCTCGAATTAGCCGCGCCGTGCACATATCGATGCGTTTCGGGGTCGGCCATCAATCCAATCTGTTCTGAAATGCATTTAATGTGATTTCCCCCTCGCGGAAGCTGTTTTAAATTGCTTCCCATTCGTTTCCCTTTCCCAATTTAAATTTGTATTCATTATGTACAGCTAGAGCTTTACACTGTGCGGTTTATCGTTGCATTAAATATTTACCAATTGCCTGTTCTAATTATTCCTGGTGGCAGAAGACAAGCTGCTAATTGTAATTCAACTTTTGAGAGACATTTTTGAGAAGTTAAAAAGAAGAACCATCCCTGCTTCTTCAGGATTGCAGATAATTGAGAAATATGTCAAGCTACCAAATAGAAGCTACCAGCCAAAAAAAAGTCCCTTGTCGTCAAAGGTGAAAACATTGTTGATTTATAAATACGATTTGAAGAGAAAGGTTAATTCTGTGTCTTATGTTGGTGTTTTGACGAAGGAAGTTCACTTTTAAAACTCATTTAATTTCCAACTCTTACCGTTCCAAAAACCCCAATAAATCACCACTCAAGAGAAATATGAAAAAAAGTTAATTGGTTGGGAAAAGTAGATCACAAACATTTTTCGACTTTGCCAAATATTGGCTGTCAGTCAATCAATCGGGACAAACTGTTCTATATACCCGTACTTATGTATATAGCAACATTTTTCAATGAATGTCAGTTAAAGGTTAAGAGTATGCTTTTTCTCGAGATTGGACTATTTTGCATTTGTCAACTTGTAATGTAAATCAAAAAAAAATATATATATATAAAAGAAACTCTATTTTGTAAAATTTATAATACAATGAGTATAGAATTGGTTTTAATTCATGGCAGCACTATTAGTTTCAAATGTTGTGCCGTACATGTAATTGAAATGAAAACCAAAATGTTATCCATTCGAAATAGATTGTCTTCTCAATTTTAAAAATACAAACTATACTGAAAGCGATCTGATACTACAATTTCATACAAGTACTTACCCATATCTGAGCTGTTCGTTTGTAATAGCGCTAATTGACTTCTACACAAAAGATCTACCAAATTATTGGTCATACACTAGACTAGACACTAAGCTTTTAATTACAGATTCATGGACGTATCTAGATGCTTATGTATGACAGATAAATCGGCATTACTTACTGTTTCATCAGATTAGTGCGGGGACACACGTTGGTGGCCCGATTGTTATGTGTTATGAGGCGTAAGTTCTTTTGCCAGCTCTGAGTTGTGTGTGCGTTTATATGTGTGTGTGTGTGTGTGTGAGTTAATTAAAAAGCGACAGCAACAATGAACAATAACAAGAACAATGAGAAGGCAGCAGAGACATGCAAAATAAATTGAAACAGAAAATGTAGTTATACGAGTATATAGTATAATAAATACAACTTATAGGAGAAAATGTTCTTCGTTTGTACAATATTTGGTTGGCAACCAGTATGAGCAAGAAGACGGCATTAATTGGTTTAATAAAGTGACTAACAAGTGCAAGTAAGGAGTGTCGAGTTCACACACACACACTCACACACAAGCAGACAAGCGCACGCATACTTGCGCTGAAAAAGTTGGCGAAAAGGTACGACGACAAGTGCTAACAAAAGTGTTGCATAGCGCCAGGCGTACTTGTGCTTGTGTGTGTGTGTGTGGGAGAGTGTGTGTGCGCGTCATGCAAGAGCAGCATTATTTAATTACACATCATACACAGATATATATTTATGTACACAGTTAAAAGTTAGTTGAGTTGAATTCGATATTGCAGCGCCATCTCGCACTTTCAAGTCAAAACGTGCAGAATATAACAAAACCGAACAGAATAGAACAGAACTGAACAGAACAGAACAGAACAGAATCGAAGAGTGCGGAACAGCAGCATAGGTGCATAGGTGTAGAAGAGAAACGGAATTGGTTGCGTCAGCTGGATGACGTCACTGCGACGCTCACAACTTTCAACTCCACAACTTACTGTTTTCTCAGACACATCATGGGACAGATATTGTTCGCTTTGACATTATGTGTAATTTTTCGTATGCCATCTAACCAGATCTATAAATAGAATGAGAGTAAGAGCAGTTGCAGCCAAATGGGGCATGATAGGCAGAATTCAGGCTGTGTCATTTCATAAACCTTTCTGAAAGACCCACACAATTCGTATTTTTGTTAGTCATGGAGCTTACCTTAGCTGTCGCCGCATCTGGACAAATAACATGATGATATGTTATATTGATATAATCCGTATTCGAGCATATGGTTAGCGAACGTTTGTCCAGTTCGGGAATATTGGTGCCATTCTTTTTGGTCACTTTATCGAGTATCTTTGGATCCTGAAAAACAAAAAAAAAAAAAGGAACATTAAGTTAACAAATGTTTGTACAAAATTTAAATAATTATAAATACATTTTTGATATTTTTTTGGACAGTTGCCAGAGATTCTTGCTTGGAAACGGAAATGATTTACAATTCTTTTTCAACGATGGCCAAAGACCGAAAGAAGAAGAAGGGAACCATATTTGGCTCGAGGGAAGTTCGAAGTCCATTGCTGGTTATTTGAAAAGACAGCTCTTGCTTGAAGCAACACAAATCCATTACTCAAATAAGTCGTGGCAAAGGGACACAATTTTTTAATTGGCAGACATACTCTTGGTTCTGAAATTGGCATCTTTAATCCGCGATCCAAATGTATGCTAAGCATTTGATCGCTTCTTTAATTCTACAAGTATGAATGGGAAAAGCACGGTAAATATCTCAACCGATGCTCTTCTGATTCTGGGACAGTATTATAGTCCCAAAATAATTGCGTTTGTGCCGAATTTTTGAGCAGAATTTTTGAAATTCTGAGTATGCAGAACCACTTACTAATAACAACTTCTTTCATTTGACAAAACTTGTTCATGTTTCATACTTTTTACTAAAATTTCTCTCAAATATTGGGACTCAATGATATTATTGGAAATTGCAACAAATTATCAGAGAAACAAAATTGTGTTATCAAATGAAATTTGTAAATTACAGATAGATATTCAATTGCTGCGATAACTTATCACTGCGAATTAAAGTGGTCGTTGCATTGGACTTGTTATGAGTTGTTGTTCTTTCTAAAAAACTTATAGCGGAAATGCATTTTTGAATATTTTGTGTTTGGTGTTATCTGAATTAGAATTGGAATCGGTGGCATTGGCATTGGGATTGGAATTGGCGTTTCAGCTCATAAACCATGATGCATTGTGGCAGCCATATTACGCATACGCCGGTTAGACAAATGCAACGAATTCTGTTTATACATGTGAGGCATAACAAATGGCCAACTGACATGGTGAAAACAATTTCCGACTATTTTATGAGCTACTCTGGCCTTCTCTATGCATTGCACTTTTGCCAGATTGAGGCGACAGCGACGCACAGCGACGTGGGGGCGGAGCGTTGGGAACAACATTAATCTCAGATCGTATCATTAATCAAGGCAGCTGGTGCTGTTGTTGTTGCCACTGTTGCTGACACTAGGTTTGTTGGATTGGTCGGACGGAGACGGAGACGCAGACGCAGACGGGCGGGAAACAAATAAGGCGGGCGCGAGAACAAAGAACGCCAAGGAAAGATGCAGGGCAGTGGGGCAGCCATAAACATTTATCAGCATTTGAACATTGAATTAAAAACAAATAAATCTTTGCGCAAATTCCATTAAAATAACATTTTAATTTCACATTTGACCTTGTGTCTCAATATTTATGTGCGTGTGTGTGTGTGTGTGTGTATGTTTATGGACATATCATTTAAATATTTCAAATTCCACAGTACTTGCCAAAAGAAAAGCGCACGATTCTGTAAAATCAAACGAATGCACTTCCAATATGAAGATATGAATCAAACGACACTTTAAGAATATATGTATGTAGCTGTCGACTTGAAATTAAATCAGTGATAGCTTTCCGAAAGCCACCTCTTGAAGTATGAAGTATGAACTCAAATCATGGCATAAAATCAAAATGTTTTCATCTCTCTTTTTATCCAATAAGAAAGTGCTCGTATTATCGGACGAAGAGCATGGAAAAGTATTGGACTGCCAATTACTTGTAGTGCGACGAAATTTAATATTTGTTTCCAAGTCCTAATAAATTTAGTATTTTAGAGAACATTTGCCAAAAAACTGTCCTGAAGTCAAAAAGCTTAATCGACGATAAGAATAGCAGACTTCTTATCAAACATATCCGAAAATAGGTTTATCTGTTTTTAAAATTTGTTTACTCTTTTAATGGAAGTTTATTAGTTTTTTCTAAAACGCATATGTCTTAATCCTACTTTTCTGCCAAATTTTTATTCAAAACTGTGACGATGATTACAACTCACAAACTATAGCAAATATAGGTATTGCTCCGTCCCCAGCTTCAATATTAATCATTAAGTATGCCTTTTTATCTTTAACTTCGTCTATTTGCTTGTTTGTCAATTAAATTAAATTTAATTAAAAGAATCAAAATGTAAACACCATAGGAATAATGTTAACAAAAATGACATGAATGTTAAAAAATAACGCCGAATTGAGAAAGTGGAGTCAAAAGTCACACAATTCAAAAGAATATAGGGGGTGCTTTACATTTAAAAAGGACTCTTACCGAAGTAATACTGACAACGGATAAGAAAAGCAAGAAAACACTAAAGGGAGCTATGAAGTCTTTGGTTCTTCAAATAGTACTTTCTGAAAGCCCTGGGCTCAGTGTTTTTAATGTGAGAACCATGGCCCATTTATTGAGGTACGAATGTAGACCTAAAATAACTTTTGATAAATCAGCTGAGCGGCAACATCAATATTGTTGAAGCAACCTGCTTAAAAAAGCCTTAATTCCGAAAGCAACGAGTTGGTTTAGACACATGCAATTTTTTTTAAGGAGGAGTGTAAACAATTTGGTTTGGTTAAAGAAGAATCTGGTAGGTATGCCAAGGATCTATGGGTGAAAAAAAAGTTTAAAGTCACAAATTCTATTATCACATTCAAAAGTTTTAGTTTCTAAGAAGTGATGTTTTTGCAGCTGCTACGAGTTCAAAGATTTATAGTTTTTAATAAGTCTATGAGTTTGTTTCTAACTTGCTTTAGAGTTGATCTATCACGATGCAGCTTGTAATTTGATAAGATTTCTCCTTCTTAGGCTTTTGTAGCTTATAAGGTGCTTTTTATAATGTTTTATAAATTTTCCTCCTATGTCAATGTTTGTTGACATAAATAAATAAATAAATAAAAGCACGCATACAAAAGCACAAAAAAGGACAGGTATATTGGTGGCTTTGCGAGACAGCCCAGGTCTTTTGAGAGTGCTTTGCCCAAAATATTTGGTTCGATTCCTAAGTAGTCCAGTAGTTCCAGTCGCATAGAATTCTGTTGAAGGCTTTCCATTTTTTCCTCATCTCCACAACTGATAGGAGAAGTCATTGTGCATCGTGCTGACCATTCGGCCTATGGTGCATTGTCCTGCTAGAAGTCTCCCACCATGCAAGTCCTATGCTTGACTCTCTGAATTCTGACTATGTACAGAAGCAATATTTTCCAATCGTGCTTCACAGTCTGGGAAAGGGAAGTAGATTTCCAGGCAGTAAGATATTCGAAATTAGTTAGTTTAGTTTTAATTGCATTCGCAGTATTGCAAGGACGATGCATTATCAGACAGCTCTGCTGTGTTGCATGTTGTAAATAATTTTTCGCAAGGCACATTCTGTTTATCCTTGATAAGTGAACTATTTCATTCAAAATTTAAAGTTGCGGATGAGCTGTTGACGTCTTAGCAGCCCTTTCTGCACTCCTCAGGCGCCGTGCTCTCCTCCTGCTGTGTGCCGGGCGCAGACAAGTTGACAAATGAATTCAATTAAAATGCAAACTAAATACCATTAAGGAGCTGCAGCTCCACAATATCCTACGGCTATGCATTGCCACGACTTAAGCGCAGAGCGTAGGATGAAAAGGAAACCGAACGAGATGACGAGACAGAGAGCTGGCGGGTGAGAGAGGGAGAGGGGAGGGGTTGAGTGCTGACAAAAATTTTGTATATTATGGCGAAACGCAAACTTCATGTAAAAGTTTTGTGAACTACAGCAACAACAACAACAAACTGTTGACCACAGGAACAAAAAATGAAAAATGAAATAAAATAAAATGCCGTGTAAAGCAAAGAAAAGCCAGAACGTACAACTTTGCGCTTGCTATTGTTTGTGGCATTACATTACAACTACGCCCACACAAATACACGGACACAAATACACACACACAAACAAATATGCATATGTATGCACATTGTGTAACACATCTAAGGATATACTCGCACTACTACATGGCATGCATGTTCAAGTGTGTGTGTGAGTGTGTGTGAGTGGGAGTGTGCCGCCATCACTTGAAATGGTCGGTCATCAATATTAAATCAGTGAGATATTCACACACCCACACACACACACACACACACACACACACACACACACACACACACACACACACACACACACACATACGGGGCAGCCACAACACAATCAAACAACACACACAATGAACCATTATAAGTTGCTTCGTTTTCCTGCCAGAAACAAAAAGAGCGCGAGAGAGAGACAGGGGAGAGAGTGACAGAGAAAGAACAACAGTGGCAGTGGCAGTGGCAGCAGCATGCCAAGGAGGTGCACGAACAACAACAAATACATGTATATTGTAAACGGAAAAAACTGTGCTTGGTTTCAATTTTTCATTCTCCCCTCCTCTATCTTCCCTCCCATCCCACCACTTCCGCCGTGTGTTGTGTCTGAGTGTGTGTGTGTGTGTGGTACACACATTTTTCGGTTCAAGTTCGGCTGCTTTTTCAATAATGCACGACGCGGCTGACTGACTGACTGGCTGGCTGGCTGACGAGTGTGTGTCGCATTGAATGGAAATCAAGGCAGGTCCCGGCAGCAAACAACGCCATCTACAACAACAACAACAACAACAATACACAGAAGAGGCATCCAAAGCAGCCCTTACTTTAATTGCTCGAGTTTTTACTGTACCCGAAACGCCTGAAAGCAGACAACGATTTGCCAGCCAATGCTGGCTTAGCCCTCTGTGCTTTGTTCCATATTTTAATTGCTTTCTTTGTTATTATTATTATGATTTGTTTTTTTTTTTTTTCATTTTAAAACGCGCCCAAGCTGATTACCTGAAAGGTTATTTCTTAAAGCATGACTTATTGGAGATTTTGCTTGAAGGCAACTTTATTGAAAATTAAAATCAAATTCTTGCAAAAAAATATTTATTCTATGCTAGCCTAAGAACTTTACAGCCCAACTGGACTCTCAAACAATTATAAGTGAGCTCTTAGCACGTTTGCATATGCATACAAGTATAAGTGGATGTGGATCTGATTACCAGGTAGCCTTAGCCTTAGGCTCAGCTCAGGAGTGTAAGGCGTTCAAGAGATGAGAGGAAGAAGTCCTCAAGTCGTTACTCAGTTGCTATTCAATTGTTCATTTGAGTTGAATAAATAATATCTCAATCGCAATCCGTTAATAAATAAACTATACAATAAAACAAATAAGTAGTCAAGTAGCTGCTCTGGAAAGAGTCCTCAAGTCGTTACTCAGTTGCTATCCAATTTTTAATTTAAGTTGAATAAATTAAGTCGCAACCTTTTTTCAGTTATTAAATAAACTGCTATACATATATAGTTAAAGCTTCCTTTAATACTTTTTAATAACCAGCTCATATAGTTTTCATTTTAAGCTTTCTTTAATACTTTGTTAATAACCAACTCATATCTGCGACACTAAAGTCCACTGCATATTTGTTTTTAATAAATAAACGGTTTGCAATTAATTTTTTGATATGTTCATTCGGTTCCGGCACTGGTGGCATAGCTCTTACCAACCCAAAAGGTCAATATGTCGCTTTAGCTCTCAATTGTTCGGATGGTCATGTGTGTGTATGGACGGGCGTTGAATTTATTGCCAACTTTCCACCAACACCGCTCGCCCATTATGGAAACACGGATGACAAGCCTGCATTGAAGGCCTGCCGACCATTTGTCTGTCAGCGCTTAAACGGAATTTATGGTCGCCACTCGCCCGTCCTGGGCCGTGCAGGGCACTATTTATGGAGCCGAGTTGGGGCGGGGGCCGAGTTGGGTGGGATGCGATGCGTCTAATTGAGATTTGCAGCTCGCTGGCTCTATACATTTGACACACTTTTCAAAAGCAACCCAATGCATCTGAAGGTGACTGACTACACAATCGAGTGGTCAGTCCATCAGCCTGACAGGCTGCCAATCCAGCCATGGCCTCCGACGCATGGCTCCCAACGCACCCACTATCCAGTATCCGTATCAGTATCAGTATCGCACCAGCTGGCCGACTGCACCCAACTAACAACAATGGAAGCACACACCCAAGCAGCCGAGGCGTGAGCTCAGCGCTCGAGGAATGCACGTAAACGGCCAAATGGGCGAAATGGTCAAATGCATCGAATGCCGAGGCCGAAATGATGTCATTTTCCTATGAAGCCAAGGGGGGTTTGGCATCACCGATGCGGCGGAGGAGTAGACGCTGCCTATTTGTTTTTTTTTTTTTTTTGCAACAAGGATATACTGCGGCAGAAGGATGGGCACCGAGCGAGAGGTTGGCATGAGTGCCAATGGCATAGTTTAACAAAAAATTAGTTAGTAAGTCCATTTATAGCCTTAACTTGTTCATAACCTTCATAACCAAATTATAAATTGCGATTTAAGAGATTTCAGGAGATTTAAGAGTGCGCCGTAAAGTGGTATTTTAGAAAAGTGGACTTGCAAGTGGGACCAAATTTAATATCTGTTTGTGCTACGTATTTATTTTATTTTTATATATTCGAATTCGAATTAAATTTGCAACAGCCGTTGTGTGGAAAAAAAGAACACTGTGAGGCGCTAGTTATTGGCGCTAGCTTATTGGCTAATCAATTTATATTTACTAGCTTCGTGCGAATATACATACGAGTATGTTACACACAGATGGAGGCATGACAAACCCCACAAACGAAATAAATTCTTATTACAGTACGACAAGGCGCCTCAATGTAGTCAAGACCGTCTGTGTGTGTTCGTTTGTCCGTCTGTATGAACGCATGGATCTCGAAAAGTATAAGAGCTAGAATATCCAAATTTGGTATTAATGTTCCACTAGGCCTTAGACAAATCAAGTTAGTTTTTTTCCTGTTGCAGCAAATTGTTCATAAATCCGGTAATTCTTGAAAGTGTGCACCAACCGCTTAGTGGTTATGTGTTCAATTGTCAATTGTAAAGGAAGCTATAGCTATACGTGATATAATTTGCCATTTCAGTATTGTTTGTTTGTTTTTATTTTTCTATACATAATTTGCTTCTTCTTATTTTGTTTATTACCTTTTAGACTTCCTATCTTATAGGTTTTTTTCTTTACATATATTTTGGTGAGCACTGTAAGCAGATTGATTAATTGAATTGAATATAAATGTATAACATATATGCTTAAGCAATAGTTTCTTTCAAATTGCACATTTTAGGAACTCACAGATTTTGAAAAGAACTTGTTAAGGAATCTTCTTGATTTGGAATCAAAAACTTTGAGTTTTGGCTTAAACGAAAACTATTATTTGCGATCCACAAACAAATATTGAATAGCCCACAACTTTTGTCTGAAAACCTCTAATAGAGAGCGAGAAAGAATGAGAAAATAAGAATTTATCAGTTTCATGGCATTGTGATATCCCACCACTTTGATAAATGTAATTTTTGGGTAAAGGTCCTCATAAAATGTATTTTTTTTTTGCTTTCGTTTCACTCTGCTGCACCCATGTGGTTCGTTTCAGTGCACCACTCTGATTGGCTCTACCAATCCCCAGTTTCTTTGTTATGATGGGGCAGGGCAGAGGGTTTTTTGTTACTCACCTTTGGTGTGCCGCCCGCTCGAATGTCGCTCACTTGACAGAGCTCGATGACGTCGCCATCCTGAAATGAGCAGCAAAGTGGTGGCGGTGTTAGGAGGCAATGTTTGGGTGTTTGGGTGTTTTGGGTGGGGACTCTACACTTACCCGGCCCTCGCTCTTCCAGTAGAGAAAGAACCCGTACTCATCGACCTTGAATAAGGCATCCTTCTCGAAGTCATTCTCTTTGGTTTCCTTCTCGTTCTCGAACCAGCGATCGAAGACACAGCCGGTCGTTAGCTCCTCCGGCACGGGTATGATCCAATCGAACTCGTATTTCTTTGTCATTATTTACAATTTGTTGTTGCACTTGCTGCTGCTGTTATGGTTTGTAATGGAAATTGTATCGTTCCTACACATACGTCTACGAGTATGTGTAAGTAGGAACCGACTATTGAACTTTTTATGTTATGTTTCTATGTATTGCTGCTGCTGCTGCTTCTTCTTCTTGGCTATTTAGACACATGTTACGCACATGTCTCATTTGCATATATGCGATTGTTTTCGGGTCACATGGTTGTCCCTAGACATTTATTAAACTAATTGGTGTTTAAGTCTTCGCTGAGTTCGTTTGCAGATTGCGCTCAAAAAATGAATTTTTTTGTTTATTTTTTGGCTCAGTATTTCATTATAAGCGTATTGGGGTTCTTCAAAGGCTGCAGCTGCAAAATGAAAGAAGGCGAAATATGTTAAAAATATATTTCTGCAAATATTTAAATGCGGAAAAATACATAAGCTGTTGTGTACAATTTTATGGAGGTATAGTCAAGAAACTATATCTTTTACAGGGTCTCAACTATTAAACATTTTTCTCGATGCAATTGTAAAGGCTAAATTTTGTTATAGTATTTGAAAATCTGCTTTTGCAGCAAGTCCTTTACATGTATTGCAGTGTAAGTTATTAACAAATGATTGGCAATATTAAGGCGTAATTAAAATTGTATCCAAATTAACTTATAGCCGGAAATTATTGTTTAAAATAAATATTGAAATATATCTAACTACTTCTTGGTTGATTTTTTTTGTAAAATTGTGAAAAATAGTCAAGTTTTTTGCTTTGAAATCAAGTGCGATCGGTGTAAAATCGAAGTGCATTGAATAATGCTTTCTTAACATATGGAAATATCAAATCCGCAGGCCGTTTGGAGTAGCCCAGCTCTACTATTTTTGAAATTTTAGAAATATGCACAAATTTGTCTTAAATCTTAAATATAAAAATGTATTCATATTAAGCATTATAAATTTGTAATTAAGAAAGATTATCTTATCTTATCTACCACTTAAAATTTGTCTAGAACTGGAATAAACTCGTTCACTTGTTTGCAGAGCTGACCGGAATATTGAATTTGCCTAACAATTTAAAATTTGTTGCTCTTTTCCAGTACGTTAGTAAAAAAATTCTTGGATCGAGAGCATTACTTATATTGTTATATATTTCAATATCTATTCTGACCTGCCCAGTTAATTTTTTTTTAAATTATTAGAGTCCAAAAATACAGAAAATTCGTGTTGATATTAAATTTAAATTTAATTTAATATTAAGCATTATAAATTTGTAGTTAAGAAAGATTATCTTATCTTATCTACCACTTCAAATTTGTCCAGAAGTGGAATAAACTCGTTCACTTGTTTGCAGAGCTGACCGGAATATTGAATTTGCCTAACAATTTAAAATTTGTTGCTCTTTTCCAGTACGTTAGTAAACAAATTCTTGGATCGAGAGCATTACTTATATAGTTATATATTTCAATATCTATTCTGACCTGCCCAGTTAATTTTTTTTAAAATTATTAGAGTCCAAAAATACAGAAAATTCGTGTTGATATTAAATCGCTATTTAAACCTTCATTTATTTTAGCTTGTATCTATTTTAATGTCAAACCTATAGGTCCCTTTTTATCGGATTAAGTTCCGATAAAATTCATTTCTTTAAAAGATAGATTTAAAAATACGTTTTCTTTAAATTACGAACACGTTTTGTGAATTTTCAATAAATTTCTTGAACATTTCTTGCTCAACGTACTCGCATTGCCGTTGTTTTTTTTTTTAACGTTTGAACTTTTTGTGTTATTTTAAAAATATTAATAGAGTTTTTATTTAAAATCACGGACAGGTTTTGAAATTTTCAATAAATTTCTTGAACGTTTCTTGCTTAACATACTCGTATTGCGATTTTTTTTTTTGTGAACGAAAATTCTTTTATAAATTCGCTTTGATTTTTGGTGTTATTTTAAAAATATTGATAAAATATTTATTCTAACGCCCACAATGTGTGAACACAATTTCTTAAATCCAGCGGGATTTCTGGTCAATTTCGTGTTTAAATTCCAGATTGTTTCGTACTTGAGGCAAAGAAAGCCATTTAGGTCATAAATGAAAGTATTTAAAACTATATCTACAATATTCACGCCCAATCGGTGTAGAAATTGTGGGTCTATTTCTCCCAGAGTCGTTGGCATTATGTGACTACGAGAAAGTCAACAGCTGCGCTTTTTGCAGTTGTTGTTGTTGTTTTTGTTGTTGTTGCCGTTGCAGTGGCAGCTGTTAAGGAGGGCAACAAAATGAAATGTACTCGTACAACTGGAAAGGGAAGTTTGACACTTAAAGCAGTTTTTTTCTTATTTTTTTTTTGGCACAAGCACGGCTTCACAGTCACGCCCTCACTGACACTCGCACACGTACACACACATACACAGCAGAAAACACACCCACGCGCGAGTTGAGGCATTGAAATAAAAATGGCAGCTGGCTGTCGTTGACTGCATTTGGGTCAAGCGCAGGCGAAAATTTTCACTAAAAAATAACAGTTTCAGACACACACACACACAAACCCACCATAGATATATTCCCTGATATAGCGAATAAGTATGAGTGTGGGAGAGAGAGGGGGGAGGGGTAGGTAGGAAGAACGAGATAGCAATTGAGCATGACAGGAAATGAACAAAATGCATACAAATTCTGTGCAACCAGCAGCAGCGTCTAACGATCTGATGGTCTGTCCATCGCTCCATCGGTCTGTCTGCCCATCTGTCCATCTGTCCGGTGGTGTGTGACTGTTTTCCTTAATGCATGCATGAGTGTGCGTGTGTCGCTCTGTCTGTGTGTGTGTGTGTGTGTGTGTGTGGGTGTGTTTGTTTCTTCCCACTGCATTGGCTGTATACTATATACCATCCGAAATGAACGGCGCAGCGACATGTGCAAATGATTGAGTTGCAATCTGAGCTTGGAGGGGGGGGGGGGGGGACAAAAACGGGAAATGGAAATGGATGTGTGTGGGCGCGCATTGCGCAACGCGGATGCACGTTGCTTTAATCTAATTGTACTGTAGTCGCACTACAAACAATCTGACTACAAGTAACAACGATTCCGGGCACACCTGCACTCACTAATGGAGCACAAGACCAAGGAAAAGCACAGAAGGCGTCAAATCCTGCTGTTTGTTTATATTCGTTGTTGTTGTCGCATCCTCAACAAATTATATGAAATGATTTCCGTTTGCGTCACAGCTCTGACTCCACTCACTACTCACTGATTACAGCTCACTACTCTCTGTGCTCACTGAGGTGTTGGTGATGGTGCTGGTGCTGGTGGTGGTGCTGGTGGTGGTGCTGGTGGTGTACTCGTATTTGCGTACAGCACTAATGCCATTAGGCTTTAGCCATTTGTCAGTGCATACTTTAAGGGGCTTCTTTGGTGACCCGACCCAGACATTGAGGCATTGAGGCACACATGAGTGGCCACCAAGGTATAAATAAATCTATTTGTTGCTGCTGTTTTGCTGTTCTTGAGTTAGCTTTTAATTTGCTGGCTGGCGTCGCCGTCGTCGTCGTCGCCGTCGTCATTGTCATTGTCAGTCAACGATTTTCATTTGCCACGTTTCTCTTTTGACACTTCCCTTCGTTCGTTCGTTCGTTTCCTTTCACTGTTCTGCTGGATTTTTTGTTGTTGAGTTTTTTATTTTTGACAGCCGCTTGACAGGCATTGGCTCTTTTTGTTGTTGTTGTTGTCGTTGTTGTTGTTGTTGTGCAGAGCGCTTTGCATTGAAAAATGAAAAGTCGCTTTGACATTTATGCGCGTTAGGCGACAATTGCCGCACACACAGGCGACGATGAGAATGAGAGCCAAGACGGCGCACTTGAGAAGCTCACACACACACAGAGAGACAGGTGCTCGCCTGAATGCCTGACTGATTGCTTTCGCCGGTCTTTGAGTTTTGTCGGCTTTCACTTTTCGGTTGTGTGCGAGTGTGTGTGTTGCCGCTTTCACATGACTTCAAATTCAATGAGCTGTAAAATTTTGGCTCATTGTTAAACTTAAAGCTCGTTAGCAGTGCCAGCAAGCAGCAGAAATAACAGCAACAGCAACCAAGAGGGTCATACTATGCTCGTATTTGAATTGTTTGTAGGCGTGTGCGTGTGTGTGTGTGTGTGTATGAGTAGCGGATGTGCTTTGTGCTCTTGTGTATGTATGTGTTTGTGTGTGTGTGTGTGTCGAAATACTTTCACGCCACCACACACAACAACGATTAATGAATTTACACTCTTTGCGTTTTTGAACTTTTGCGAATTAGCGAGACAACGCGGCGTATGCTTGATGTAGATGCCTTTTTATCCACCCACACACACACACACTCACACACACGTTCTATGCTCTTGTTGTTGTTGTTGCTGTTGTTGTCTGTGGTAAACCGAGTTTGGATTTGAACGCTGCAACAGCTTGCGCTGATGTGCTGTCATGTGTTCAGCCTATTCGTGTATGAGTGCATATGTAGATACATAGGTAGTACTATATGTTTTCGTATAGTATTATGTTTGTCTGGATGTCTGCCCAGCTGTGTTGTGGTGTGTGTTTGCTGTACGTCTGGGCACAGTTCATGGACACGCCACAGACCAAAAGGCAGTTTTGAGGCTTTAAGCAACGATATTTACAGAGCGCGACCACCCGCCATGATTTTCATTCTCTGATAAATTAGTAATAAAGACATTTACTTCCAAATAATATTTGAACTGATACTGGAAAGCACTGAGCTTTTAAGACTTAACAGTACAGCCTGTGCACTTATGTATGAGCGGTGGGCGAGTAGTGCCGCTGCAAGTTTGCAATTTTTGAATCCCCAATACATGGAACTGTTACGTGCTCTAATTATAATAAACTCTACTCCTTACATTTAACTAACCAGCATTAAATAAACATTCACTAATTATATTTGTTCTTTTTTTTTAAATCTTACAAGATTTGTTCTCTGTTGTATAAAATGGCAGTATTTTTGTTATCGATTTTCAAATAAATAAATAAATATTATACCATATCTTTGCTGTAATTTAATAAAAAAAAAAACATCTTATACTAATTTGCTGATTTATTTAATGAAATAAAATAAAAAATTTAAGTCATTGCGTTTTGAGCAGGAAGAATATTTTATAAATGATTTTTTCCTTATTAAAAAAAGGAAAAAATAATAATAATAAGAAAACTACAACTCTTTAGAAACAAATTAGTTGTTCATTGTAAGATTCTAGATTTTGGTTTTTTGAAGTGCAAGAAAATATTCATGCCAAGCTACATGTTCTGAATTGAACTTGACTTGCCTGAGAACAAGGCGTTAGTGATTTTGAAGACTAGGCCAATAGTTCTGCACGGGCATTATTTTTATCATTTAAAA